GTCATGGGCTCTCTGTTTCGCAGTGAAGAGGTCTGTCTGGTGCAGCTCTTCCTCCAGTCCGGATCCGCCTACAACTGCGTCAGTGAACTGGGAGAGCTGGGAATAGTGGAGTTCAGAGACGTGAGAGCATTTCTGTTCGCTTTTCTCTGTCGTTCCTAAAGGGGTCGTATGATGCTATTTTAAAAGATCATTATCTTGTTTTTTAGGTGTGATGATGGTACAGGTTAACATGCTTAAATGTTGAAAAAACATTACTTTTCACATACTGTACATTTTTGCAGCACCTTTATTCCCAGTCTGTCTGAAATGCTCTGATTTCTACAAGCCCCGCCTTCTGAAAGCTCAGAGTGCTCTGATTGGCCAGCTGACCCAGTGCGCTGTGATTGGCCAAACACCAAGTGTGTGTCGTTACCATAATCGCAAGCTTCTGCTTCTAAGACTTCTAAAGCATTTGTAAACTCACAGTTAATAATAATAACTTTTGGGTTGTACTGCTGTTTAGGAACCGCTTTATAAATAAATCTTAAGCACTGATGCATAAGTTCATCCATTTTTGCAAGGCCAAACAAATCGGTTTTGCTTTCACATCCGAACACACAGTGTGTCTGCGACGTGACGACACTACGATTCTCTGAAGCCTCGTTTATACTTTGGATCCATATACATGGGCACATACACATACACAATATTATGCTAATATTTCACATTGTGAAATGGATGTTTGAGGAAGTAATATTTGGACCTGGATCGATGCGTTTTAGTCCGGTCTGGATCAGTGTTCTCCGTTAGATATGCTAAGCTTTGTAATTTAGCAGATCATGTACATGCACAAACAGATTTAAGGAGAGAAAAACATTAGAAAGCATCATATGAGCCTTTAAGAACGCCTGTGCTTCATTTTCATGTCTTATAAAGTGTCTTTCCATTACACTGGCTGCTGATGTTTGAGGATGATGTTTGTAATCTTGATCTCAGCTGAATCCAAATGTCAACGCGTTCCAGAGGAAGTTTGTGAACGAAGTGAGGCGATGCGAGGAGCTGGAGAAGACCTTCGGTGAGTCCGTGAACCGTAGAGCGATCACACAGAGCACGCCAGCACCCGCTGGGGAACATTTGAGTTAAAATTCAAGTTCATTTAATCATGAAACTATTATTGTTTTGCATTATTAATAAGTGCAGTTACTAATAGTACATGTTTGCTTATTGTAAATTTGACAGTAATGCACTGAGCTTGAATTGAGATGAAGATAAAATTAACTTTTATTAACAACAGTAACATGCAAAAACCTGATTTTTGTAGGGAATAAGTGAATCTCCTCTTATTAAATGTACCGTTGCTCCTCTAGTATCTCACTGAACTGATCGCCAGCTTCAATGATTATAAAAGGAAAGATCTTTAAGTGTTTACTGTGTAATTCAGTCACAATATGAAGACAAATTTTTGTTTTTCATGAGATTTTGACTTCCTACCTTTTTCCATATTTTAGGGAGTGGAACTTTAGTTAATAATTGGTTAATGAGTGTAAATGGTTAATAAGTGCTCCTCTGCTGCCATCTACTGGTTATAATGGTGCTTGTTTGCCACACTGTTAGTTTTAGATTAATTTAGTTTTCCTACAGCCTTAAAATTTCAGTTTTACAAATCATCACATTAAAAATAACATTGAAATTGGATAAAATGTAGAGCTTGAATTTCACTCTCAAAATACGTTATACTACGAACCCGAGATGAAACATGTAAAAAAAAAAAAAAAAAAAGATTTCTGCCACATTCCCATGGTTACAGCTACTACATTAAATCCATGGTGAATGCTGGTGATTTGTGGATTAAAACCTTCTTTAACTTTCATTACTTTGACTTTTCGTTCTTTCATGGCACCGTGTTTCTCCTGGTTTCCACGTCTGCGCTGAATTTGAATGCTTCCCGCTAGATCTCGCAGCACATTCATGTTGTTAATACCGAATGCAGACGCTTCTCACTGGGCTGTAGTTACGGTAGTACGGTGTCGTGTGGTCGAGATCGGCCGCGAGTAAAGCTGCTCTGAGCTCTCGCTGATGAACTAGCTGTGATACACAGAGTTCAGACATGTTAAATGAGTTGTGTCATGCTGAATTAGAGGTTTTTAAACACTCATCTTGTGTGTTGTAGTGTTCCTGGAGCAGGAGATAGTGCGCAGCCTGTCCCAGACGCTGCAGGCCCCGAGCCCGGCCCCCCCGGCCCCTCAGCCCCGAGAGCTGCTCACCATCGAGGAGGACAGCGAGCGCCTGGCCCGCGAGCTCAGGGAGGTCTGGACGACACTGAACCTGCGTGCCTCTTACTACGCCGTTTTAAAGAGTCTGCTACCAGGCTTACATGCATCAAAAACACCTTCATGGGCTCTGTCCCAAATGAGACACTTCATGCACTTAGTGTTGTGGACTTACAATGGGGCCGCCTATATGTGTCTGTTAAAACCTAAAAGATGAACATCACACACTCTTCCAGCTGTTCAGCCAATCGAGACCCTAGTCTGGCATTACACATGAGTTATAAACCTACATGGCTTTAGCTGGAAGTGAGACTGATTTACTGACGACTAGGGGGGAACGACTTCAGACTTGTTAAAGTCGACATTTATGTGATGAAAGTAAACGTAAAGTTTAAAGCGTCATGGCTGAGCATTAGTCAACTAGTCTGCGCGACCCCTACTGACGACTCGTTTCAGACATCGCAGAACCGCTTCTTTCTTTTAGGAGACAATAACTTTATTATCTGGATCTTTAAAACTTTGCTGACGTGCAGAACAGGGGCACTGCAATGTTAATTTAAGTCCCCCTGTCGTCAGCCATTTTATCCCTTAAAACTCATCTTTGATCACCAAAGAGACATGCGGCTCTATGAATATGCAAATGAGCCCCGCCTCCACTCACTCACTCAGCTCAGAGATCCACTGGTTGACGATCACACGTTGATCTGATTGGTTACAAGGTCGTTTGTGACGTCAGAAACACCAGCGATTTCAAACCGTGTTTTTGAGACTGTCTTTGGTTCACTGCAGTTTTAAGGAGGAAATACTCAGCAATGCTGTCGACTTATGAACTTACACATGGTGTGTCTTACAGCGTATTAAAAACACCACATAGACACATAAACAACATTAAACGCTGGATTTACACCACAGGGGGACTTTAACATGTAATTTTTAATTAAATAAATAATAAAATAATAAATAATTATTAATAATAAATAATTTGAACATTTAATCTTTCTTGACTGTAAAGGTTATTGCGGTGCTTCCTGTATCAGTGTTTAGACTACTACATACAGTCAAACCAAAATATATTCAGACTCCTTCAACATTTCTCACATTATCAGTTTATTCGCTATAGTTTAGAAAATGGTGATAAACATGAGCAGAACTCAGAGTTCTCAGATCAGTGGATATTTGACTGGTTTTGTCCGTCCTTCTGTTCGACTCTCACACATGAATTATGTTGAATATCTGTCAGCTGTTCAATTTAACTACACAATTAGATAATACCAGTTTAGCTCAACCAGTGACCAAGCAATGCTTCATGTTGTTCAGTGTGTGTGTAAAAAGAGCATTAGCAGTTACAGAAAACACACTTCAGCAAAACACAATTTTTGGTCCCAAATGTTTATAAATGTCACTGGTAGTCACTGTATGAAGAGTTTATGGGTGTAATATGTCTCAGTTTACTTTATTCTGCTCTCCTCACTTACATAATGAACTATAGTGTCCTGATCACACTAGTGAAACAATATAAAAAATTATATCTGCTGTCTGAATAATTTGACTGTATCTCCCTGTTATTCGTTTCCCCCGCTCTTAAATACTAAAGTGTCTTGATGAAGCGGTTGTGAACTTGTCATGTGTCTTAAGCGTGTGTGTGTGTGTTGTGCAGGTGTCATGTCTCTTAACCGTGTGTGTGTGTGTGTGTGTTGTGCAGGTGTCATGTCTCTTAACCGTGTGTGTGTGTGTGTGTTGTGCAGGTGTCCAGGAACAGAGACAGTCTGCGCTCTCAGTTCACTCAGCTGTGTCAGTACCGGGGCGTCCTCAAGCAGACTCACTCGCTCACCGCATCACAGGTGTGTTCTGCTCTCACACACACACACACTCGCTCACCGCATCACAGGTGTGTTCTGCTCTTCTCTCACACACACACTCGCTCACCGCATCACAGGTGTGTTCTGCTCTCACACACACACACACACACACACACTCGCTCACCGCATCACAGGTGTGTTCTGCTCTCACACACACACACACACACACACACTCGCTCACCGCATCACAGGTGTGTTCTGCTCTCACACACACACACACACACACTCGCTCACCGCATCACAGGTGTGTTCTACTCTCACACACACACACTCACTCACTCACCGCATCACAGGTGTGTTCTGCTCTTCTCTCACACACACACACACACACCGCATCACAGGTGTGTTCTACTCTCACACACACACACTCACTCACTCACCGCATCACAGGTGTGTTCTGCTCTTCTCTCACACACACACTCGCTCACCGCATCACAGGTGTGTTCTGCTCTTCTCTCACACACACACTCGCTCACCGCATCACAGGTGTGTTCTGCTCTCACACACACACACACACACACTCGCTCACCGCATCACAGGTGTGTTCTGCTCTCACACACACACACACACACACTCGCTCACCGCATCACAGGTGTGTTCTACTCTCACACACACACACTCACTCACTCACCGCATCACAGGTGTGTTCTACTCTCACACACACACACTCACTCACTCACCGCATCACAGGTGTGTTCTGCTCTTCTCTCACACACACACACACACACCGCATCACAGGTGTGTTCTACTCTCACACACACACACTCACTCACTCACCGCATCACAGGTGTGTTCTGCTCTTCTCTCACACACACACACACACACCGCATCACAGGTGTGTTCTACTCTCTCACACACACACACACACTCACTCACCGCATCACAGGTGTGTTCTGCTCTTCTCTCACACACACACCGCATCACAGGTGTGTTCTGCTCTTCTCTCACACACACACACACACACACTCGCTCACCGCATCACAGGTGTGTTCTGCTCTCACACACACACACACACACACTCGCTCACCGCATCACAGGTGTGTTCTGCTCTCACACACACACACACACACACTCGCTCACCGCATCACAGGTGTGTTCTGCTCTCACACACACACACACACTCACTCACTCACCGCATCACAGGTGTGTTCTGCTCTTCTCTCACACACACACACACACACACAGCATCACAGGTGTGTTCTGCTCTTCTCTCACACACACTCGCTCACCGCATCACAGGTGTGTTCTGCTCTTCTCTCACACACACACCGCATCACAGGTGTGTTCTGCTCTTCTCTCACACACACACACACACACACACACAGCATCACAGGTGTGTTCTGCTCTTCTCTCACACACACTCGCTCACCGCATCACAGGTGTGTTCTGCTCTTCTCTCTCACACACACACACACACACACACTCGCTCACCGCATCACAGGTGTGTTCTGCTCTTCTCACACTCCCCCGCGTGCGCCGCTCAGTCTGAGGTCCTCATGTGTGTGTGTGTGTGTGTGTGTCAGGGCCCGCTGGTGTCGTTCGAGCCCGCTGCTCTGGCGGAGAACAGGCAGGACGTGCGGCTCAGCTTCGTGGCCGGCGTGGTCCACCCGTGGAAGGTGCCGGCCTTCGAGCGGCTGCTGTGGCGCGCGTGTCGAGGATACATCATCGTGGACTTCCATGAGATGGAGGAAAAGCTGGAGCACCCCGACTCTGTGAGACCCAAATCATTTATCATTTTATTAGGTTCATCTTGCAGGAGCCAAGTGAGAATGTATATGCACTCACCGTCAGCACAGTTAAAGTAAACCGGCGCAGTGGCTCAGAAGTGCTGATCGGGTTGGGTCAAATCTTGAATGGGTTGTTCAAAAAAAGAAAAATAGGAAATAAGATTAATCACAAAATACAATCTTGGTTTTGATCTGGATCAGATTGTCAGTTTCTATTAGTAACATTGTATAACTTTGATTAAAAAAAAGCAGAAGGGTGGATTTCAGGAACAAAAATGTAATAACTTTAAAACTGGTCAAAAATATCGCAGTATCATGTAATATAAACACGTTTATAGTTTTATTTTGCTTCTGATTAGTTTAACCGTTTAAGTAATAAAGTAGAGGCAGACTTCAGGCTTCATATTCAGCCTTTCAGTACAGTAAGGTAAAAAAGAGATATTTTGGTCCTTTAAAATAAACAGCTGTCAATATCAAAGAAAATAATATATTTATATTTATTCAAGTGATAATGTATATGTACAGACAGTATAAGTTGGGTTGAATGTTTAATATGTGAGATTATATGTGACCCTGGACCACAAAACCAGTCACAAAGGGTAAGATGTATGCATCCTGATGTGTGGTGTGTTAGGATATGGCAATATTTGGCCGAGTACAACTATTGAAGATCTGGAATCTGAGGGTGCAAAAAACCTAAACATTGAGACAATCTCCTTTAAAGTTGTGCATTTATGTTGGCGATTGTGCTGCATCCACTCACAAAAATATATATACAGTAGGAATTTTACAAAATATCTTCATGGAACATGATATTTACTTAATATCTTAATGATTTTTGGCATAAAAGAAAAATCAATAATTTTGACCCATACAATGTGCGACTTGTGACTGGTTTTGTGATCCAGAGTCACATATCAGGTTTGATACAGTGAATGAACATCAGGGCCTTTTCCCGGGCTTGTGCTTCTGACAAGGAAATCAGTCGTTCACTTTTCAGGATTTTGTGTTGTAAATATAATTTTTTCTGAAGCAATATTCTCATCAGGCTTCAGTCAGCTTTGACATATTTAAATCTGTATGTTTATGATATTTTAACCTTTATAAAAGGCATTTTTTTCCCTAATCGTTTTAAATATATGCTTCATCTTTTCTTTTAAATTCTTAAATGTAAGACACTATAGGGCTGTTACCAGTGAAATTAAATAATTAAAACAGAAAAATTTCTGCATTAAATAATGTTATGAGATCGTTTTAAATATTTTTTGAATATACAAATAACATGTACAGTACAACCTTGATTTTTTTGTGTGAAATGATTGTTTCCCAGGGCGAGGATGTGCAGTGGACCGTGTTTTTAATCTCGTTCTGGGGAGACCAGATCGGGCAGAAGGTGAAGAAGATCTGTGACTGGTAGGTGATATGGGGGTTTTGGAGAGAGGTCAAAGGTCAGGCTTCCTGGAAAACATGGACATATACCAAAGAATTTAAAGAGAGTCTGATTTCCAGATCTATTGGATCCTCGAAGAGTCATATAAAACATTAGAAATCCTTATGAGCTTTTAAGATCTTATTATAGTCAGTATATTTTTTGCATGTTTTTTTTGAGTGTCTCTCACGAAGTGATCTCTGAAAAAGCATTTTTAATCTTCCTAATCCAGTCATCAGCAACTGGACTAAACACTGAAGAGTTATGAACCTTGTGGGAAATTAGTATTTTGCCTTTAGCAGATCAGTCCAATTTCGAGAGTTTACAAATGTGCCACTTGACAGATTAGAAATGGACAATTTTTATTTCCACCACATACTTTTAATGAATTTTGAATAAATATTGTGATTGCACTTTATTTTACAGTACGTGCTCTTACATGTTCTTACAGTGTTCTTACCTAGAAAGTACTGGTTAATATAATGTAAGTTCGTGGCTTGGTTAATAGTAAAACACAGGATTTCCAAATCTATATAATTCTGATCCAGATGAAACGTTTTGAACATCTGGGCTCTGGACTGTTGTGTCGCACAGAAATGAATGTGTCTTGTGTTCCACGTACTCCAGCTTCCACACACAAACCTTCCCCTACCCGGAGAACCAGGCCGAGAGGGAGGACACCCTCAATGGGCTGCGAGGGAGGATCGAGGACATCCGATCCGTGAGTATCCTCACATCTGGCAGTTCTACTCGTATAGAGGATTTGCAGAGACGTCAGGAACACACTCCCTGAGCCGGACTGAGTGGCAGAAGAGCTACTGTGTGACTCGGGACTGTGAAAACTGTGAAAACCCGAGTGTTAAAAGTTCAAATAATGAGGAGGAAGAGGACAGGGTCAACTGAGACTCGTACTTTATTCTCTTTTTCCACAATCAAAACAAAAGTTACGCGTTACAGCGCTTCAATATATCCAACACAATAAATGATACTTCACTCCAAAGCATTCACACACAGCTTGGCACGTGTCCTCAGTTCGTCTATCTCTCCCTTGGTCTCGTTTCCCGCTGGCTTTATCCAGTCTCTCCATGCCAATTACTGAAACAAGACACAGGTGTTTGTCATTAAGACACAGGTGTTTGTCATTAAGACACAGGTGTTTGTCATTAAGACACGGGTGTTTGTCATTAAGACAGAGGTGTTTGTCATTAAGACACAGGTGTTTGTCATTAAGACACAGGTGTTTGTCATTAAGACACAGGTCTTTGTCATTAAGACACAGGTGTTTGTCATTAAGACAGAGGTGTTTGTCATTAAGACAGAGGTGTTTGTCATTAAGACACAGGTGTTTGTCATTAAGACACAGGTGTTTGTCATTAAGACACAGGTGTGGTGTTTGTCATTAAGACACAGGTGTTTGTCATTAAGACACGGGTGTTTGTCATTAAGACACAGGTGTTTGTCATTAAGACACAGGTGTTTGTCATTAAGACACAGGTGTGGTGTTTGTCATTAAGACACGGGTGTGGTGTTTGTCATTAAGACACAGGTGTTTGTCATTAAGACACAGGTGTTTGTCATTAAGACACAGGTGTTTGTCATTAAGACACAGGTGTGGTCTTTGTCATTAAGACACAGGTGTTTGTCATTAAGACAGAGGTGTTTGTCATTAAGACACAGGTGTTTGTCATTAAGACACAGGTGTGGTGTTTGTCATTAAGACACAGGTGTGGTGTTTGTCATTAAGACACAGGTGTTTGTCATTAAGACACAGGTGTGGTGTTTGTCATTAAGACACAGGTGTGGTGTTTGTCATTAAGACACAGGTGTTTGTCATTAAGACACGGGTGTTTGTAATTAAGACACAGGTGTTTGTCATTAAGACACAGGTGTTTGTCATTAAGACAGAGGTGTTTGTCATTAAGACACAGGTGTTTGTCATTAAGACACAGGTGTTTGTCATTAAGACACAGGTGTTTGTCATTAAGACACAGGTGTGGTGTTTGTCATTAAGACACAGGTGTGGTGTTTGTCATTAAGACACAGGTGTTTGTCATTAAGACACAGGTGTTTGTCATTAAGACACAGGTGTTTGTCATTAAGACACAGGTGTGGTCTTTGTCATTAAGACACAGGTGTTTGTCATTAAGACAGAGGTGTTTGTCATTAAGACACAGGTGTTTGTCATTAAGACACAGGTGTGGTGTTTGTCATTAAGACACAGGTGTTTGTCATTAAGACACAGGTGTGGTGTTTGTCATTAAGACACAGGTGTGGTGTTTGTCATTAAGACACAGGTGTTTGTCATTAAGACACGGGTGTTTGTAATTAAGACACAGGTGTTTGTCATTAAGACACAGGTGTTTGTCATTAAGACAGAGGTGTTTGTCATTAAGACACAGGTGTTTGTCATTAAGACACAGGTGTTTGTCATTAAGACACAGGTGTGGTGTTTGTCATTAAGACACAGGTGTGGTGTTTGTCATTAAGACACAGGTGTTTGTCATTAAGACACGGATGTTTGTCATTAAGACACAGGTGTGGTGTTTGTCATTAAGACACAGGTGTTTGTCATTAAGACACAGGTGTTTGTCATTAAGAGACAGGTGTTTGTCATTAAGACACAGGTGTTTGTCATTAAGACACGGGTGTTTGTCATTAAGACACGGGTGTTTGTCATTAAGACACAGGTGTGGTGTTTGTCATTAAGACACAGGTGTGGTGTTTGTCATTAAGACACAGGTGTGTTTGTCATTAAGACACAGGTGTTTGTCATTAAGACACAGGTGTTTGTCATTAAGACACAGGTGTTTGTCATTAAGACACATGTGTTTGTCATTAAGACACAGGTGTGTGTTTGTCATTAAGACACGGGTGTTTGTCATTAAGACACGGGTGTTTGTCATTAAGACACGGGTGTTTGTCATTAAGACACGGGTGTTTGTCATTAAGAGACAGGTGTTTGTCATTAAGACACAGGTGTTTGTCATTAAGACACAGGTGTTTGTCATTAAGACAGAGGTGTTTGTCATTAAAACAGAGGTGTTTGTCATTAAGACACAGGTGTTTGTCATTAAGAGACAGGTGTTTGTCATTAAGACACGTGTGTTTGTCATTAAGACACAGGTGTTTGTCATTAAGACAGAGGTGTTTGTCATTAAGACACAGGTGTTTGTCATTAAGACACAGGTGTTTGTCATTAAGACACAGCTGTTTGTCATTAAGACACAGGTGTTTGTCATTAAGACACGGGTGTTTGTCATTAAGACACGGGTGTTTGTCATTAAGACACGGGTGTTTGTCATTAAGACACGGGTGTTTGTCATTAAGACACGGGTGTTTGTCATTAAGACACGGGTGTTTGTCATTAAGACACGGGTGTTTGTCATTAAGACACGGGTGTTTGTCATTAAGACACGGGTGTTTGTCATTAAGACACAGGTGTTTGTCATTAAGACAGAGGTGTTTGTCATTAAGACAGAGGTGTTTGTCATTAAGACAGAGGTGTTTGTCATTAAGACAGAGGTGTTTGTCATTAAGACAGAGTTGTTTGTCATTAAGAGACAGGTGTTTGTCATTAAGACACGGGTGTTTGTCATTAATACACAGGTGTTTGTCATTAAGACACAGGTGTTTGTCATTAAGACACAGGTGTTTGTAATTAAGACACAGGTGTTTGTCATTAAGACACAGGTGTTTGTCATTAAGACACAGGTGTTTGTCATTAAGACTTGACCGCACTACGCGGTGCGCTTGTCTCCCTTCTCTCTCTCCTGTCACAGACCTCGCTAAACCACGCCCCCCTCGCCCCACCGAGTAATACAAACGATGATCAGTTTAAACTAAAGGTTAGACCCGATATAGTATCCTTACAACCTACCAAAGATCCAGTGATCCATGGATATTGGCATGCAGCCAGGAATAGCTTTTCCTGACATTTATATGTGCCTTATTTTGACGCCAGGGAAATGCATAAAGCAAATTTGCCTGTGAGCGCTTTATGTAAATACAATATAGGTCTAAATCTGAGTGATCACTTATATCACTGTTACATAATCACTGCCACTCAGGGTTTCTGCCGCTCAGTGTTTCTGCCTCTCAGTGTTTCTGCCCCTCAGTGTTTCTGCCGCTCAGTGTTTCTGCCGCTCAGTGTTTCTGCCGCTCAGTGTTTCTGCCCCTCAGTGTTTCTGTCCCTCAGTGTTTCTGCCGCTCAGTGTTTCTGCCGCTCAGTGTTTCTGCCGCTCAGTGTTTCTGCCGCTCGGTGTTTCTGCCCCTCTGTGTTTCCGCCGCTCAGTGTTTCCGCCGCTCAGTGTTTCTGCCGCTCAGTGTTTCTGCCGCTCAGTGTTTCCGCCGCTCAGTGTTTCTGCCGCTCAGTGTTTCCGCCGCTCAGTGTTTCTGCCGCTCAGTGTTTCTGCCGCTCAGTGTTTCCGCCGCTCAGTGTTTCTGCCGCTCAGTGTTTCTGCCGCTCAGTGTTTCCGCCGCTCAGTGTTTCTGCCGCTCGGTGTTTCTGCCGCTCGGTGTTTCTGCCTCTCAGTGTTTCTGCCCCTCAGTGTTTCCGCCGCTCAGTGTTTCTGCCGCTCAGTGTTTCTGCCGCTCAGTGTTTCTGCCGCTCAGTGTTTCTGCCCCTCTGTGTTTCTGCCGCTCAGTGTTTCTGCCGCTCAGTGTTTCTGCCCCTCTGTGTTTCTGCCGCTCAGTGTTTCTGCCGCTCAGTGTTTCTGCCGCTCAGTGTTTCTGCCCCTCTGTGTTTCTGCCGCTCTGTGTTTCTGCCCCTCTGTGTTTCTGCCCCTCTGTGTTTCTGCCGCTCTGTGTTTCTGCCCCTCTGTGTTTCTGCCTCTCAGTGTTTCTGCCGCTCAGTGTTTCTGCCTCTCAGTGTTTCTGCCCCTCAGTGTTTCTGCCTCTCAGTGTTTCTGCCCCTCTGTGTTTCTGCCTCTCAGTGTTTCTGCCCCTCTGTGTTTCTGCCGCTCGGTGTTTCTGCCTCTCAGTGTTTCTGCCGCTCAGTGTTTCTGCCGCTCAGTTTTTCTGCCGCTCAGTGTTTCTGCCGCTCAGTGTTTCTGCCCCTCAGTGTTTCTGCCGCTCAGTGTTTCTGCCGCTCAGTGTTTCTGCCACTCAGTGTTTCTGCCCCTCAGTGTTTCTGCCTCTCAGTGTTTCTGCCTCTCAGTGTTTCTGCCTCTCGGTGTTTCTGCCGCTCGGTGTTTCTGCCTCTCAGTGTTTCTGCCCCTCGGTGTTTCTGCCGCTCAGTGTTTCTGCCCCTCGGTGTTTCTGCCTTTCAGTGTTTCTGCCCCTCAGTGTTTCTGCCTCTCAGTGTTTCTGCCCCTCTGTGTTTCTGCCTCTCAGTGTTTCTGCCTCTCAGTGTTTCTGCCTCTCAGTGTTTCTGCCCCTCTGTGTTTCTGCCTCTCAGTGTTTCTGCCTCTCAGTGTTTTTGCCCCTCTGTGTTTCTGCCTCTCAGTGTTTCTGCCCCTCGGTGTTTCTGCCTCTCAGTGTTTCTGCCCCTCAGTGTTTCTGCCTCTCAGTGTTTCTGCCCCTCTGTGTTTCTGCCTCTCAGTGTTTCTGCCGCTCAGTGTTTCAGCCCCTCGGTGTTTCTGCCTCTCAGTGTTTTTGCCCCTCTGTGTTTCTGCCTCTCAGTGTTTCTGCCCCTCGGTGTTTCTGCCTCTCAGTGTTTCTGCCCCTCAGTGTTTCTGCCTCTCAGTGTTTCTGCCCCTCTGTGTTTCTGCCTCTCAGTGTTTCTGCCCCTCAGTGTTTCTGCCCCTCGGTGTTTCTGCCTCTCAGTGTTTCTGCCCCTCAGTGTGTTTCTGCCCCTCAGTGTTTCTGCCCCTCGGTGTTTCTGCCGCTCGGTGTTTCTGCCGCTCGGTGTTTCTGCCCCTCAGTGTTTCTGCCGCTCGGTGTTTCTGCCCCTCAGTGTTTCTGCCGCTCGGTGTTTCTGCCCCTCAGTGTTTCTGCCCCTCGGTGTTTCTGCCGCTCGGTGTTTCTGCCGCTCGGTGTTTCTGCCGCTCGGTGTTTCTGCCGCTCAGTGTTTCTGCCGCTCAGTGTTTCTGCCGCTCAGTGTTTCTGCCCCTCAGTGTTTCTGCCCCTCAGTGTTTCTGCCGCTCAGTGTTTCTGCCGCTCAGTGTTTCTGCCGCTCAGTGTTTCTGCCCCTCAGTGTTTCTGCCCCTCAGTGTTTCTGCCTCTCAGTGTTTCTGCCCCTCTGTGTTTCTGCCTCTCAGTGTTTCTGCCCCTCAGTGTTTCTGCCCCTCGGTGTTTCTGCCTCTCAGTGTTTCTGCCCCTCAGTGTGTTTCTGCCCCTCAGTGTTTCTGCCTCTCAGTGTTTCTGCCTCTCAATGTTTCTGCCCCTCAGTGTTTCTGCCTCTCTGTGTTTCTGCCTCTCGGTGTTTCTGCCTCTCAGTGTTTCTGCCGCTCTGTGTTTCTGCCGCTCGGTGTTTCTGCCGCTCAGTGTTTCTGCCGCTCAGTGTTTCTGCCGCTCAGTGTTTCTGCCGCTCGGTGTTTCTGCCTCTCAGTGTTTCTGCCGCTCAGTGTTTCTGCCCCTCGGTGTTTCTGCCGCTCGGTGTTTCTGCCGCTCGGTGTTTCTGCCGCTCGGTGTTTCTGCCGCTCGGTGTTTCTGCCGCTCAGTGTTTCTGCCGCTCGGTGTTTCTGCCCCTCAGTGTTTCTGCCCCTCAGTGTTTCTGCCTCTCTGTGTTTCTGCCTCTCGGTGTTTCTGCCTCTCAGTGTTTCTGCCGCTCTGTGTTTCTGCCGCTCGGTGTTTCTGCCGCTCAGTGTTTCTGCCGCTCAGTGTTTCTGCCGCTCGGTGTTTCTGCCGCTCGGTGTTTCTGCCGCTCGGTGTTTCTGCCGCTCGGTGTTTCTGCCGCTCGGTGTTTCTGCCGCTCGGTGTTTCTGCCCCTCGGTGTTTCTGCCGCTCGGTGTTTCTGCCCCTCAGTGTTTCTGCCGCTCGGTGTTTCTGCCGCTCAGTGTTTCTGCCGCTCGGTGTTTCTGCCCCTCAGTGTTTCTGCCCCTCGGTGTTTCTGCCCCTCAGTGTTTCTGCCCCTCGGTGTTTCTGCCGCTCAGTGTTTCTGCCGCTCGGTGTTTCTGCCGCTCGGTGTTTCTGCCCCTCGGTGTTTCTGCCCCTCGGTGTTTCTGCCGCTCGGTGTTTCTGCCGCTCTGTGTTTCTGCCGCTCGGTGTTTCTGCCGCTCGGTGTTTCTGCCGCTCGGTGTTTCTGCCGCTCGGTGTTTCTGCCGCTCGGTGTTTCTGCCGCTCGGTGTTTCTGCCGCTCGGTGTTTCTGCCGCTCGGTCTTTCTGCCCCTCAGTGTTTCTGCCGCTCGGTGTTTCTGCCCCTCAGTGTTTCTGCCCCTCGGTGTTTCTGCCGCTCGGTGTTTCTGCCGCTCGGTGTTTCTGCCGCTCGGTGTTTCTGCCCCTCGGTGTTTCTGCCCCTCGGTGTTTCTGCCGCTCGGTGTTTCTGCCGCTCTGTGTTTCTGCCGCTCGGTGTTTCTGCCGCTCGGTGTTTCTGCCGCTCGGTGTTTCTGCCGCTCGGTGTTTCTGCCGCTCAGTGTTTCTGCCGCTCGGTGTTTCTGCCCCTCAGTGTTTCTGCCGCTCAGTGTTTCTGCCGCTCAGTGTTTCTGCCTCTCAGTGTTTCTGCCCCTCAGTGTTTCTGCCTCTCAGTGTTTCTGCCCCTCTGTGTTTCTGCCTCTCAGTGTTTCTGCCCCTCAGTGTTTCTGCCCCTCGGTGTTTCTGCCTCTCAGTGTTTCTGCCCCTCAGTGTGTTTCTGCCCCTCAGTGTTTCTGCCTCTCAGTGTTTCTGCCCCTCAGTGTTTCTGCCTCTCAGTGTTTCTGCCCCTCAGTGTGTTTCTGCCCCTCAGTGTTTCTGCCGCTCGGTGTTTCTGCCCCTCAGTGTTTCTGCCGCTCAGTGTTTCTGCCGCTCAGTGTTTCTGCCTCTCAGTGTTTCTGCCCCTCAGTGTTTCTGCCTCTCAGTGTTTCTGCCCCTCTGTGTTTCTGCCTCTCAGTGTTTCTGCCCCTCAGTGTTTCTGCCCCTCGGTGTTTCTGCCTCTCAGTGTTTCTGCCCCTCAGTGTGTTTCTGCCCCTCAGTGTTTCTGCCTCTCAGTGTTTCTGCCTCTCAATGTTTCTGCCCCTCAGTGTTTCTGCCCCTCGGTGTTTCTGCCGCTCGGTGTTTCTGCCGCTCGGTGTTTCTGCCGCTCGGTGTTTCTGCCCCTCGGTGTTTCTGCCCCTCGGTGTTTCTGCCGCTCGGTGTTTCTGCCGCTCTGTGTTTCTGCCGCTCGGTGTTTCTGCCGCTCGGTGTTTCTGCCCCTCGGTGTTTCTGCCCCTCGGTGTTTCTGCCGCTCGGTGTTTCTGCCGCTCTGTGTTTCTGCCGCTCGGTGTTTCTGCCGCTCGGTGTTTCTGCCCCTCGGTGTTTCTGCCCCTCGGTGTTTCTGCCGCTCGGTGTTTCTGCCGCTCGGTGTTTCTGCCGCTCGGTGTTTCTGCCGCTCGGTGTTTCTGCCCCTCGGTGTTTCTGCCCCTCTGTGTTTCTGCCGCTCGGTGTTTCTGCCGCTCGGTGTTTCTGCCGCTCGGTGTTTCTGCCGCTCGGTGTTTCTGCCCCTCGGTGTTTCTGCCCCTCGGTGTTTCTGCCGCTCGGTGTTTCTGCCGCTCTGTGTTTCTGCCGCTCGGTGTTTCTGCCGCTCGGTGTTTCTGCCCCTCGGTGTTTCTGCCCCTCGGTGTTTCTGCCCCTCAGTGTTTCTGCCGCTCGGTGTTTCTGCCCCTCAGTGTTTCTGCCGCTCGGTGTTTCTGCCGCTCGGTGTTTCTGCCGCTCGGTGTTTCTGCCGCTCGGTGTTTCTGCCCCTCAGTGTTTCTGCCGCTCGGTGTTTCTGCCCCTCAGTGTTTCTGCCGCTCGGTCTTTCTGCCCCTCAGTGTTTCTGCCCCTCGGTGTTTCTGCCGCTCGGTGTTTCTGCCGCTCGGTGTTTCTGCCCCTCAGTGTTTCTGCCGCTCGGTGTTTCTGCCCCTCAGTGTTTCTGCCGCTCGGTGTTTCTGCCCCTCAGTGTTTCTGCCCCTCGGTGTTTCTGCCGCTCGGTGTTTCTGCCGCTCGGTGTTTCTGCCGCTCAGTGTTTCTGCCCCTCAGTGTTTCTGCCGCTCAGTGTTTCTGCCGCTCAGTGTTTCTGCCGCTCAGTGTTTCTGCCCCTCAGTGTTTCTGCCCCTCAGTGTTTCTGCCGCTCAGTGTTTCTGCCCCTCAGTGTTTCTGCCGCTCGGTGTTTCTGCCCCTCAGTGTTTCTGCCGCTCGGTGTTTCTGCCCCTCAGTGTTTCTGCCCCTCGGTGTTTCTGCCGCTCGGTGTTTCTGCCGCTCGGTGTTTCTGCCCCTCAGTGTTTCTGCCGCTCAGTGTTTCTGCCGCTCAGTGTTTCTGCCGCTCGGTGTTTCTGCCGCTCAGTGTTTCTGCCGCTCGGTGTTTCTGCCGCTCGGTGTTTCTGCCCCTCGGTGTTTCTGCCGCTCGGTGTTTCTGCCGCTCAGTGTTTCTGCCGCTCAGTGTTTCTGCCGCTCGGTGTTTCTGCCGCTCAGTGTTTCTGCCGCTCGGTGTTTCTGCCGCTCGGTGTTTCTGCCGCTCGGTGTTTCTGCCCCTCGGTGTTTCTGCCCCTCGGTGTTTCTGCCCCTCAGTGTTTCTGCCGCTCGGTGTTTCTGCCCCTCAGTGTTTCTGCCGCTCGGTGTTTCTGCCGCTCGGTGTTTCTGCCGCTCGGTGTTTCTGCCGCTCGGTGTTTCTGCCCCTCAGTGTTTCTGCCGCTCGGTGTTTCTGCCCCTCAGTGTTTCTGCCGCTCGGTCTTTCTGCCCCTCAGTGTTTCTGCCCCTCGGTGTTTCTGCCGCTCGGTGTTTCTGCCGCTCGGTGTTTCTGCCCCTCAGTGTTTCTGCCGCTCGGTGTTTCTGCCCCTCAGTGTTTCTGCCGCTCGGTGTTTCTGCCCCTCAGTGTTTCTGCCCCTCGGTGTTTCTGCCGCTCGGTGTTTCTGCCGCTCAGTGTTTCTGCCGCTCAGTGTTTCTGCCGCTCAGTGTTTCTGCCGCTCTGTGTTTCTGCCGCTCGGTGTTTCTGCCGCTCGGTGTTTCTGCCGCTCTGTGTTTCTGCCTCTCAGTGTTTCTGCCGCTCGGTGTTTCTGCCGCTCGGTGTTTCTGCCGCTCGGTGTTTCTGCCGCTCAGTGTTTCTGCCTCTCAGTGTTTCTGCCCCTCAGTGTTTCTGCCTCTCAGTGTTTCTGCCTCTCTGTGTTTTTGCCTCTCGGTGTTTCTGCCTCTCAGTGTTTCTGCCTCTCTGTGCGTGTAACTGCAGTCACTCCGGCCAAGTGCTGGCTGGCGTGTGTGTTTGCTGATGTGTGTGTGTGTGCGAGCTGGTGATGGGTGAGACGGAGCAGTACCTGCAGCAGCTGCTGATTAGTGTGTGTGTGTGTGTGTGTGTGTGTGAGCAGGTGATGGGCGAGACGGAGCAGTACCTGCAGCAGCTGCTGGCCCGAGCACTGGTCCGGCTGCCAGAGTGGCTGGTTCAGGTGCAGAAGTGCAAGGCTGTGCAGACGGTGCTGAACCTCTGCAGTCCCTCTGTCACCGACAAGTGTCTGATCGCAGAGGCCTGGTGTCCTGTCAGCCAGCTAACCGCCCTGCAGAGCGCCCTGAGAGAGGGAGGGGTGAGCAATCACACACACAACACCCACACACACTTACACCCACACTCACACACACGTCCCGTCAGCCAGCTAACCGCCCTGCAGAGTGCCCTGAGAGAGGGAGGGGTGAGCAATCACACACACAACACCCACACTCACACCCACACTCACACACACGTCCCGTCAGGCAGCTAACCGCCCTGCAGAGCGCCCTGAGAGAGGGAGGGGTGAGCACACACACTCACACACATTACAGACTGCATGTAAATTACACGTTTACACGACACCGATATGCTTATCCCTCTGGAGGCGTTTTCTGGGCCCTGGAGGTGTTCTGACATGCTCTGACATTTGTGCTTATTTCTGTTACTTGTAACATTTTCATACAATATAAATTGCTTTAAAAAAATTGTAAGGCATGATTTGTGTAAGAAAGCTGTATTCGTGGTGGGCGTAAATCATCATGAATATTGATGTGTTTCACACCTGGCCCTATCAGGTGGGACTGGGAGGGAACTATAAACAAAGAATGTGGCGAGATTTAAAGAATGACTTTTTGATTGTTTTGTTTATTCTCTCTCTCAGAGGAAGAGTGGCAGTAGTGTGGACTCGTTCTACAACCGTTTGCCGGCCACCTCTTCCCCCCCGACTCTCTTCCCCACCAACGCCTTCACTGCAGGATTCCAGAACATCGTCGATGCGTATGGAGTGGCGAGTTACAGGGAGGTGAACCCAGGTAACACACACACACACACATACTCAAAGCACACACTCACAGCACACACTCTCTCTCTCTCTCTCTCTCTCTCTCTCTCTCTCTCTCACACACACCCCGTCTCACTCTCCCGCCTGTTGTGTGTGTGCAGCCATCTACACCATCATCACATTCCCCTTCCTGTTTGCGGTGATGTTCGGGGACGTGGGTCACGGCCTGCTGATGGCACTGGCGGGTCTCTGGATGGTTCTGGAGGAGAAGGATCCAAAAATGAGGAAAAATACCAATGAAGTAAACATATGACGCATCCTGCATACACGTTTTCACAATACTGGAATTTCTGAATTTCACAACACTGAAACTTCTCTACAAAAAAAAATGTATACCACAAGGAAAAATTATGCAAGTTTGAAAATAAAGCACATTGTGTCCTAAACGCACGTTAAACAGTAAATGCAGAAATGCAGTTTGTGACGCTGTAAACACCTGATCACGAGCACAACTGACTATATCATTATTTAATTAAAATACACACTGCGGTGTTCCTACTCATTATATGAGCAAAGAGAGAGTGAGAAAGTGAAGCTGGTGCTGTAATATGACTGAGACCATTTCAAATATTCAGAGTCCGTATCCTAAAAACCAGTGATGCCATGTTTCTCATAAGCAGAAGCCACAAAACAGCTTCTTTAGGAAATGTCCCATTCTAGTTGTGTTTATTTGTGTGTGTGTGTGTGTGTGTGTGTCAGATCTGGAGTATGATGTTTGGCGGCCGATACCTCATTCTGCTGATGGGTCTGTTCTCCATCTACACCGGAGCCATTTACAACGAGTGTTTCAGCAGAGGCCTCAACACCTTCTCCTCAGGCTGGCACATCCGGCCCAATGCAGAGCACTACAACTGGACGTACGTCACACACACACACACACACACCGACGTGCACCCACATGTGCGCATACAGCACAGGTCTCTCTCTCTCTCACACACTCACTCACTCACTCAATCAATCACACACACACTCACTCACTCAATCTCACACACACACATAATCACACTCACGTACACACTCACTCACTCATTCACTCAGACACTCACTCTCAATCACACACACACACACACACACACACACACACACACACACACACACACACACACACACACACACACACACACACACTGACCAGTCCTCAGTCATATGGTAAAGTCTGTTTCTCTGTGTGTAGTGAGGAGACTTTCCGAACTAACCAGTATCTGGTGCTGGATGCCAACGTCACAGGCGTTTTCACTGGCCCTTATCCTTTTGGAATTGATCCCGTAAGTCAGACAGATGAGTGTGTGAACGACCCTGCCGTACCCTGTTCTGCTGTTACACAGAGTAGCTCTTCACAGTGGCGCTGTGTGAAATCCTGCATGTTATTCTCCCTCAGATTTGGGGTCTGGCCAACAATCACCTGACGTTCCTCAACAGCTATAAGATGAAGATGTCCGTCATTATCGGAGTCATCCATATGACCTTCGGTGTGTGTTTATCCCTCTTCAACTTCATGTGAGTATGCTTGAGTGTTTGAGTGAATCATGCCAGATAAGGGCCTTCCTGTCGTTACAAACCCAATGACAACATTGTCTTGTATACCACGAACGTCAGTGGGATCCACTGTTTTGGACTGCAACGTTGTATATGTGTTCCACAGAAGGTCATTTTAATATTATTTATATACTATTATAGTATTTATTATGGTTTCATTTTTATATTTTCAGTTTTCTTTTTGTAATTTTGTAATGTGCTTTTGTCTTTTTTTTTTAAAAGATTTTAAGAATTTCACCTAATATTTATTTTATTTCAGCTCTATTTCAGGTACAGAAAACCATTTTTGATAGTTTGATTTCATTTTACATAGCAATAAGAGCGCTGGTCGTACAGGTTTTAGACGGCATAAGGCACTGATGACTCTCAGGCACTGTAATTACACTTGCTCTGCTGCCGTTTTGAAGTCATGCACGCCATTTCCCTTTACAAAGCATGCATTTTATTCGATTTCTGTTCAAAGAATTATCACACTTGCAATGATCAGGTTCAAGATTTTTTGGATAAAGTCTCATTGGGAATGAACTTGGTTCTAACATTTCCTACTGAAAAACAGCACTGAAATATCCTTTTGTTACCATTCGAAGCATAAGTCATGTATCTGGATCTGAACCCACTCTGTTTCTCCAGACACTTCCGGGACATCGGCAGCGTGTTTCTGGTGCTGATCCCGGAGCTGTGTTTCTTGCTGTGTCTGTTTGGATACCTGATCTTCATGGTGGTGTATAAGTGGGTGGTGTTCGGGCCGGTGAACTCTGACTCCGCCCCCAGCATCCTCATCCACTTCATAGACATGTTCCTGTTCACTGAGAACAAGGACAACAAACCGCTCTACACGGGACAGGTGTGTGCTTGCTGGGAAATCACACAACCAGACTCTCAATAAAGTGTGCTCCGCTTTATGGTTTGTTAGATACTCAGTTTACATCTGTAATTCTGTACAGTGTATTTTCAAACAGAAGTGAGGACTGGATATCAGGATCTTTACATCTTGTTCGAGTGGCGAAAATGCAGCACTTCAATAAACTAGTTTCCAGTTTTCCGTTTGAACATCTTTGAACATTATTCATAAACTGATTGGATGTGTGTGTGTGTGTGTGTGTGTGTGTGTGTGTGTGTGTGTGTGTGTGTGTGTGTGTGTGTGTGTGTGTGTGTGTGTGTGTGTAGATGGTGGTGCAGAAGGTTCTGGTGGTGGTGGCTGTGCTGTCGGTTCCTGTGCTGCTCCTGGGGAAGCCGACGCAAGAGTACATCACACACCGGATGAAGAGGACTCAGCCCTCAGTGAGCGCTCATTCTGAATATACTGTTTCTGAAGATACTGTATACTCTTACAGCTTTTGTGTTTTTTGTCTTTAGTTTTTTTGGGTTGTGTGCGTGAAAGACAGCGTAGTCAGAGTGTGCAAGTAGTGTGAGTGCAGTGAGTGTGTAGAGTGAGTGTGTAGAGTAGAGTGTGTGTGTAGAGTGAGTGTGTAGAGTGAGTGTGTAGAGTGAGTGTGTAGTGTAGAGTGAGTGTGTAGAGTGAGTGTGTAGAGTGAGTGTGTAGAGTGAGTGTGTAGAGTGAGTGTGTAGAGTGAGTGTGTAGAGTGAGTGTGTACAGTGAGTGTGTAGAGTGAGTGTGTAGAGTGAGTGTGTAGAGTGAGTGTGTAGAGTGAGTGTGTACAGTGAGTGTGTAGAGTGAGTGTGTAGAGTGAGTGTGTAGAGTGAGTGTGTAGAGTGAGTGTGTAGAGTGAGTGTGTAGAGTGAGTGTGTACAGTGAGTGTGTAGAGTGAGTGTGTAGAGTGAGTGTGTAGAGTGAGTGTGTAGAGTGAGTGTGTAGAGTGAGTGTGTACAGTGAGTGTGTACAGTGAGTGTGTACAGTGAGTGTGTACAGTGAGTACATCGAGTGTGAGTACATCGAGTGAGTGTGAGTACAGCAGCCAGTGTGAGTACGAGTACAGCAGCCAGTGTGAGTACAGCAGCCAGTGTGAGTACGAGTACAGCAGCCAGTGTGAGCACAGCAGCGAGTGTGAGAGCAGCAGCGAGTGTGAGTACGAGTACAGCAGCCAGTGTGAGTACAGCAGCAGCCAGTGTGAGTACGAGTACAGCAGCCAGTGTGAGTACAGCAGCCAGTGTGAGTACGAGTACAGCAGCCAGTGTGAGTACGAGTACAGCAGCCAGTGTGAGTACAGCAGCCAGTGTGAGTACAGCAGCGAGTGTGAGTACAGCAGCCAGTGTGAGTACGAGTACAGCAGCCAGTGTGAGTACGAGTACAGCAGCCAGTGTGAGTACGAGTACAGCAGCCAGTGTGAGTACGAGTACAGCAGCCAGTGTGAGTACGAGTACAGCAGCCAGTGTGAGTACAGCAGCCAGTGTGAGTACAGCAGCGAGTGTGAGTACAGCAGCGAGTGTGAGTACAGCAGCGAGTGTGAGTGCAGCAGCCAGTGTGAGAGCAGCAGCGAGTGTGAGTACGAGTACAGCAGCCAGTGTGAGTACAGCAGCCAGTGTGAGTACGAGTACAGCAGCCAGTGTGAGTACAGCAGCCAGTGTGAGCACAGCAGCGAGTGTGAGTACAGCAGCCAGTGTGAGTACAGCAGCAGCCAGTGTGAGTACAGCAGCCAGTGTGAGTACAGCAGCAGCCAGTGTGAGTACAGCAGCCAGTGTGAGTACAGCAGCAGCCAGTGTGAGTACAGCAGCAGCGAGTGTGAGTACAGCAGCAGCCAGTGTGAGTACAGCAGCCAGTGTGAGTACAGCAGCAGCGAGTGTGAGTACAGCAGCCAGTGTGAGTACAGCAGCAGCGAGTGTGAGTACAGCAGCCAGTGTGAGTACAGCAGCAGCGAGTGTGAGTACAGCAGCGAGTGTGAGTACAGCAGCGAGTGTGAGTACAGCAGCGAGTGTGAGTACAGCAGCCAGTGTGAGTACAGCAGCCAGTGTGAGTACGAGTACAGCAGCCAGTGTGAGAACGCACAGCAGCCAGTGTGAGTGCAGCAGCCAGTGTGAGTGCAGCAGCGAGTGTGAGTGCAGCAGCGAGTGTGAGTGCAGCAGCCAGTGTGAGTGCAGCAGCCAGTGTGAGAGCAGCAGCCAGTGTGAATACGAGTACAGCAGCCAGTGTGAGTACAGCAGCCAGTGTGAGTACAGCAGCCAGTGTGAGTGCAGCAGCGAGTGTGAGTGCAGCAGCGAGTGTGAGTGCAGCAGCGAGTGTGAGTGCAGCAGCGAGTGTGAGTACAGCAGCCAGTGTGAGTACAGCAGCCAGTGTGAGTGCAGCAGCGAGTGTGAGTGCAGCAGCGAGTGTGAGTGCAGCAGCCAGTGTGAGTACGAGTACAGCAGCCAGTGTGAGTACAGCAGCCAGTGTGAGTGCAGCAGCGAGTGTGAGTACAGCAGCCAGTGTGAGTACGAGTACAGCAGCCAGTGTGAGTACGAGTACAGCAGCCAGTGTGAGTACGAGTACAGCAGCCAGTGTGAGTACGAGTACAGCAGCCAGTGTGAGTACAGCAGCGAGTGTGAGTACAGCAGCCAGTGTGAGTACAGCAGCCAGTGTGAGTACAGCAGCCAGTGTGAGTACGAGTACAGCAGCCAGTGTGAGTACGCACAGCAGCCAGTGTGAGTAAAGCAGCGAGTGTGAGTACAGCAGCCAGTGTGAGTGCAGCAGCGAGTGTGAGTACAGCAGCGAGTGTGAGTGCAGCAGCAAGTGTGAGTGCAGCAGCGAGTGTGAGTGCAGCAGCGAGTGTGAGTGCAGCAGCCAGTGTGAGAGCAGCAGCCAGTGTGAGTATGAGTACAGCAGCCAGTGTGAGTACAGCAGCGAGTGTGAGTACAGCAGCGAGTGTGTGAGTACAGCAGCGAGTGTGAGTACAGCAGCGAGTGTGAGTACAGCAGCCAGTGTGAGTACAGCAGCGAGTGTGAGTGCAGCAGCCAGTGTGAGTGCAGCAGCCAGTGTGAGTACAGCAGCCAGTGTGAGTAAAGCAGCGAGTGTGAGTACAGCAGCCACTGTGAGTGCAGCAGCGAGTGTGAGTGCAGCAGCCAGTGTGAGAGCAGCAGCGAGTGTGAGTGCAGCAGCGAGTGTGAGTACAGCAGCGAGTGTGAGTACAGCAGCGAGTGTGAGTACAGCAGCGAGTGTGAGTACAGCAGCAGCCAGTGTGAGTACAGCAGCAGCCAGTGTGAGTACAGCAGCAGCCAGTGTGAGTACAGCAGCAGCCAGTGTGAGTACAGCAGCAGCCAGTGTGAGTACAGCAGCAGCCAGTGTGAGTACAGCAGCAGCCAGTGTGAGTACAGCAGCAGCCAGTGTGAGTACAGCAGCAGCCAGTGTGAGTACAGCAGCAGCCAGTGTGAGTACAGCAGCAGCCAGTGTGAGGCGAGTGTGAGAGCAGCAGCCAGTGTGAGTACGAGAGCAGCAGCCAGTGTGAGTACGAGTACAGCAGCCAGTGTGAGTACAGCAGCAGCCAGTGTGAGTACAACAGCAGCCAGTGTGAGTACAGCAGCAGCCAGTGTGAGTACAGCAGCCAGTGTGAGTACAGCAGCAGCCAGTGTGAGTGTGAGTACAGCAGCAGCCAGTGTGAGTACAGCAGCAACGAGTGTGAGTACAGCAGCAGCCAGTGTGAGTACAGCAGCAGCCAGTGTGAGTACAGTACAGCAGCAGCCAGTGTGAGTACAGCAGCAGCGAGTGTGAGTACAGTAGCAGCCAGTGTGAGTACAGCAGCCACCAGTGTGAGTACAGCAGCAGCGAGTGTGAGTACAGCAGCAGCGAGTGTGAGTACAGCAGCAGCGAGTGTGAGTACAGCAGCAGCGAGTGTGAGTACAGCAGCAGCGAGTGTGAGTACAGCAGCAGCGAGTGTGAGTACAGCAGCAGCGAGTGTGAGTACAGCAGCAGCGAGTGTGAGTACAGCAGCAGCGAGTGTGAGTACAGCAGCAGCGAGTGTGAGTACAGCAGCGAGTGTGAGTACAGCAGCGAGTGTGAGTACAGCAGCGAGTGTAGCAGCGAGTGTGAGTACAGCAGCGAGTGTGAGTACAGCAGCGAGTGTGAGTACAGCAGCAGCGAGTGTGAGTACACCAGCCAGTGTGAGTACACCAGCCAGTGTGAGTACAGCATGAGCCAGTGTGAGTACAGCAGCCAGTGTGAGTACAGCAGCCAGTGTGAGAGCAGCAGCCAGTGTGAGTACGAGTACAGCAGCAGCCAGTGTGAGTACAGCAGCAGCCAGTGTGAGTACAGCAGCAGCCAGTGTGAGTACAGCAGCAGCCAGTGTGAGTACAGCAGCAGCCAGTGTGAGTACAGCAGCAGCCAGTGTGAGTACAGCAGCAGCCAGTGTGAGTACAGCAGCAGCCAGTGTGAGTACAGCAGCAGCCAGTGTGAGTACAGCAGCAGTGTGTACACTCAGTACACTCAGTACACTCAGCCAGTGTGAGTACAGCAGCAGCCAGTGTGAGTACAGCAGCGAGTGTGAGTACAGCAGCCAGTGTGAGTACGAGTACAGCAGCCAGTGTGAGTACGAGTACAGCAGCAGCCAGTGTGAGTACGAGTACAGCAGCCAGTGTGAGTACAGCAGCAGCCAGTGTGAGTACAGCAGCCAGTGTGAGTACGAGTACAGCAGCAGCCAGTGTGAGTACGAGTACAGCAGCCAGTGTGAGTACAGCAGCAGCCAGTGTGAGTACAGCAGCCAGTGTGAGTACGAGTACAGCAGCAGCCAGTGTGAGTACGAGTACAGCAGCCAGTGTGAGTACGAGTACAGCAGCCAGTGTGAGTACGAGTACAGCAGCCAGTGTGAGTACGAGTACAGCAGCAGCCAGTGTGAGTACGAGTACAGCAGCCAGTGTGAGTACAGCAGCAGCCAGTGTGAGTACAGCAGCCAGTGTGAGTACGAGTACAGCAGCAGCCAGTGTGAGTACGAGTACAGCAGCCAGTGTGAGTACAGCAGCAGCCAGTGTGAGTACAGCAGCCAGTGTGAGTACGAGTACAGCAGCAGCCAGTGTGAGTACAGCAGCAGCCAGTGTGAGTACAGCAGCAGCCAGTGTGAGTACAGCAGCAGCCAGTGTGAGTACAGCAGCAGCCAGTGTGAGTACAGCAGCAGCCAGTGTGAGTACAGCAGCAGCCAGTGTGAGTACAGCAGCCAGTGTGTGTTCAGTGAGAGTGTGTGTGTGTATAACTATACTCTGGTCTTCTGTAGGGAGACAGGCGTCCTCTGCTAGCAGAAAACGGCTCTATTAATGCCCACCAGGGAGAGGAGGATGCAAGAGGAGAGGAGGAGGTGAGAGTGAAATCTTTATTTATTAATCATTCTTTTAACTAGTTATTTTTAATGATTCATTCAAACTGATTAGCAAAGCATTAGATAATGATCCTCTGAAATCGAATATAATGATTTGGTTGATCTGAAGCACAACTGGACCTGCCTGTCTGAAATTCTCAATGGATGCACTGCAGCAAAGTTCAACGTTTTCCAACTTTTGGTCACATGGCCGATCTACCATGAATAAATAACAGCACCATGGTCTACTATTGTCATAAGAAAGCTTTGCGTCACAAATAGTCATACAGGTTTAGAACCACACGAGGATGAGCAAATGATGACAGAATGTAGGTGAACAATTCCTCGGATATGTGATGTATGATCTCCTCACTCTTTGTGCTCTGTGTTTTCATCTACCATGTGTGTCAGGAGTTTGATGCGGCGAGTGTGTTCATGCACCAGGCGATACACACCATCGAATACTGTCTGGGCTGCATCTCCAACACCGCCTCCTACCTGCGGCTCTGGGCGCTCAGCCTCGCTCACGCCCGTAAGTGTGTGTGTCTGTCTGTGTTTGTGTGTGTGTTTGTGTGTCTGTCTGTCTGTGTTTGTGTGTGAGAGCTGCCGTTGCCTGTGAGGAGCATCTCCTCGTGTGTGTGTGTTTGTGTGTTTTCCTTCCGACGTTGCCTCTGAGGAGCGTCTCCTCATGTGTGTGTGTGTGTTTCAGAGCTGTCGGAGGTGCTGTGGCTGATGGTGATGCGGATCTCCTTCCAGCAGCTCAGTTATCTGGGCTCCATCATCATGGTGTTTATATTCGCTGCGTTCGCTGTGCTGACCGTCTCTATCCTGCTCATCATGGAGGGACTGTCCGCTTTCCTGCACGCTCTCCGACTGCACTGGTGAGAGAAGCTTGAACACTCACACACTCACTCACACACTCACGCACGCTCACTCACTCACTCACTCACACACACACACTCACTGACTCACTCACTCACTCACTCACTCACACACTCACTCACTCACTCACTCACTCACTCACTCACACACACACACACACACACTCACTGACTCACTCACTCACTCACACACTCACTCACTCACTCACTGACTCACTCACTCACTCACTCACACACTCACTCACTGACTCACACACTCACTCACTCACTCACACACTCACTCACTCACTCACTCACACACTCACACACTCACTCACTCACTCACTCACTCACTGACTCACTCACTCACTCACTCACTCACTCACTCACTCACTCACACACTCACTCACTCACACACTCACTCACTCACTCACTCACTCACACACACACTCACTCACTCACTCACTCACTCACTCACTGACTCACACACTCACTCACTCACTCACTCACTCACTCACACACTCTCTCACTCACTGACTCACTCACTCACTCACTGACTCACTCACTCACACACTCACTCACACACTCACTCACTGACTCACTCACTCACTCACTCACTCACTGACTCACTCACTCACTCACTGACACACACTCACTCACTCACACACTCACTCATTCACTGACTCACACACACACTCACTCACTCACTCACTCACTCACTCGCTGACTCACACACACACTCACTCACTCACTCACTCACTCACTCACTGACTGACTCACACACACACTCACTCACTCGCTGACTCACACACACACACTCTCACTCACTCACTCACTCACTCACTCACTGACTGACTCACACACACACTCACTCACTCGCTGACTCACACACACAGTCACTCACTCACTCACTGACTCACACACACACTCACTCCCTCATTCACTGACTCACACACACACACACTCACTCACTCACTCACTGACTCACACACACACACACTCACTCACTCACTGACTCAGTCACGCACACTCACACACACACACACACTCACCCTGTAAGGAGCAAAGTTGCATAAAAACATCTAGACAAGCGTCGCTAGAGCTCTATTAATCAGAGACTCTGCATCTTTCACTGTTTATTTACATGCGTTTACTTTGAGTCATGTGATTCATTGTGCTCTCTCTCTCTCTCTCTCTCTCTCTCTCTCTCTCTCTCTCTCTCTCTCTCTCTCTCAGGGTGGAGTTTCAGAATAAGTTCTACAGTGGCTCTGGCTATAAGCTCAGTCCGTTTGCCTTCTCGTCGGGATTCAGCGGCTCCTCCCTCCAGTGACCCATGATCCTCTGCTCACGGGACTCTGCTAGCGTTACTAGCGAACTGTGCTAGCGTCACTTGGCTGGGGCCACAAAACATTTTAAAGTGCATCATTGAAGCATCTTTCTTTTATATTTTAAACATGAATACAACTGTACAAAAAAACTCAGAGTTGAAAGTGTTATGAATCCACATCCATATCTTTGACACTTTGCAACACTATCTTTGAAACCGGATCCTGACACTCGAGTCTTTTAGTTGAGTGAACGTGATTTTTAACTGAAGAGCACAGATGAAATAAAGTAGTTTTTACATGATCATTGAGACATTATGATGACAGCATCTAATGATGTTTAATGCTGCAAGTGCAAACAGTTATGACATAATTTAGCAGTTATACATGTTGATCAATAGGTTAAGCGTCTTGATTTGCTGCGTCACTCAAAGGGAATAATCTTTTATTGTTGCTTTTCTGTTATTACAATGAAACTTTGTTTTAATTTTGGAGCTGAATCACAAAGTGCTTACAGTGACATTCGCTGATCAATAAAGACCAAAGTCTCTCAAAACACTGTGTGTGTGTTGTGTGTGTGTGTGTGTGTGTGAGACTGTGTGCGTGTGTGAGTGTGATAGACTGACAGGCTGCAGAAGATCTTATATTACATAGAAACTGGTGCCAGTCAGTAATCTTTTTTTTTTTTTTTGCGTATGTATAGGATATTATCTTGTGTAGTCTAACTCAGCCTTTCTCAAACTTTTTTCAGTCGGGGCACCTTTCAAAAGTGCATAAAATCTCAAGGCACCCCAGTGTAAAATATAAATTAAAAACACTGCATAACCTAAATGTAAATGCAAATGTCCTGTTTATTTAGACAGAACAGTAATGAACAGAGCATAATACGAACTGTAAATAACAATAACAATAATAATAACAACTTTACAGGGCTATCACTTTTGTGAAAAAATCCTGATCGATTTTTGAGACATAAATGTTCATTGAATCGATTGTAAAATCGATTTTCCATGTCTAAAGACGTTTCCATTTTCAGCGCCAAATATAGGCAAATCCACGGACAACTAACAGGCATTAGCACGAGCGTAAAGAGTGCGCTTGAGACGCGCACAAGTCAGCAATATTTCTGATGATTTATTGGCATGAAGTTTCGTGCGCAATGACAAACAGGAGTGCAAGATTCTCGAAAAACAATAAGGAGAGTGGACTGCCATAACATCAATGAAAAGCATTACTGCAGGCTTCAACATGGCTGTGTTTACGATTAGAAATGTCAAACAAATTTCGCCTACGTAGGCGATTGTAGGCCGGATCTGTATCTGTATGCATGGGACTGTCTGAATACCGGCAGAATTCACATTTTTGTTGTAAAAAGAGACACATTATGCAGAAGTATAGTATAGTTTGTATGTGTGTGTGTCAGAGCCTGCAGTTGCTGTGTGACGCGCGTGTCGTGACGAGCTGGACGCGCTCCGAGAGAAGGCCGTTAAAATCGATTCCCTATTTTCGGTTTCGATACTTGTGTTGGTTGGTCCGATCGATTGTGCAATCGATTTTCGAACGTAAAGTGACAGCCCTTTTGCAAAGTAATTCACAAAATAATTAATCAGAGACACAAATGCCATACAACCGTAAGGGCTCAAACATATAGCCTAAGCCTATCAATGATAATACTGTGGTAAAAAAAAATTATTTGCTTATAATTAACATGACAATGTGTACAAAACTAAAGTGGCCTAAATTCACGTTTATTTTTTACGTTTCTGTCAGTCTGAGGTGTTGTTGCTATAACGCGTTGCTATGGGTTGCGTCAAGTTGTGTGTGTGTCTTGCTTCGGTCTTGTGAGACGGATTTTTATGGTTAATTTTATATATATATATATATTTATCTAAAATGAATTTACAATTTTATTAATACGTTCATATGTTTAAAAAGAAGAAGAATGTATTTATGTAAATTCAAATATATATATTTTTTAGCCTACATAATTTTTTGGCGGCACCCCTGCATCTCTTTCGATGAACAACAACAACAATAATAAATATCCTGGATTTGCGTACATCAAAATTTACTCTGAAAAGAAAAGCACAATAATAAGGTTAAATCATATCTTTGAATACATCGTCATAATGCATCAAGAATTGTGCACTTTTTTGTGATTTATAAGTCTAAGGGATGAAATAGATGTAAAATTCAGCAAGAAAAAGAGGAAAGTGTAAATGAGACTTAAGCCAGTATTGCTTGTGAATGAAGAATTTTGCATACAAGATAAAGAGATTAACATATTCAAGGCACAGCAGCTTTGGGTTTTCCTGATGAAAGATAACTTCTATAAAGTATGGTCACATCAGTAGGGCTAAAAACACAAGTACTAAAATCAGCCCAAAATCTATTGGTTACTACAATCGCAGAATAAAAGGGCCGCTGTTTCTTCAACAGAACCACAAAAAGAGAAAGTTTCATCAATATCAGAATATTTAGAAATGGATGAGTTGATCGATTTTATGAAGGATTTTATAATGAATTTCCTTAATTTTGTTGGATACGCAAAACGTACTGTGTCTGTGGCAAAAGCCAGGCCTTTCTCTAATTTACATGTTACGAAAACAACCCAAAGAAATGACCCCTAGAGTAATCTTTCTCTTCACACACACGCACACACACTCGGTCCTCTAGGGGGCGGTGTGCTCCTCTGACGTCACTTCCTGCTCAAGAGTAACCCGAAGAAGAAGAAGTAAACAAACCGCGGGCGGGAAACACAAATATGAGCTCTGTCTTTTATACGAGTGAAATAAATGTACTTTTATTCTCCGGACTGTAGAAAATAGCCAACATGGTTCAAGAGTTTCATGTTCTGAGATGTTTCTCCTGCCAAACCTTCCAAGTACAGCAGGTAGCGTTTATTTCCCTGTCCCCTTTAGCACAGGATTAACGTTAACCGAGTGGATTGATCGACACCGATATCAGTCCTTGATTTCTAGATCGATCCGTGTGTTCAGATCAGTGTGATTAAAGCTTCACTAAACATACTGACAACAAGCGCTGTTACTTTTGATATTAACAAACCCTGAGCTCTAAAATGATGTTTTATTGCGACATTCATTTATTAACTTGAATAATAACTCTAGAGGGGAACGTTTTGCTAAATAATATGCTCTATATATTACATGTACACGTATATTTTTACTTAAACGGTAAATAAACTTGTCATTATAAGTTTTTATGACAGGCACCGTTTAAATGTGCATATTTGCGACAACGAATTGGTGTAGAAACCAAATTATAGAATCGAATTCTTAACCGTCCTCGTGCAATTAAAATATTTGTTTGTGTATATATATATTGGAGTGTTGCTTATTAAATGTACAAATAAATGGCAATAATTTAATCCGGACTAGTTCACCCAAAAATGTAAATTCTGTCACTATATACTCTCCCTCATGTCGTTCCAAACCCGTGAGACCTTCGTTCATCTTCAGAACACAAATGAGGATGTTTTTGATGAAATCTGAGAGGTTTCTGCAGGGCTCTCAAGTTTTAAAGAGTGACATCTATATTGATCTATGAATCTATATTGAAATCGATTTGTGATACTGATGTCACTGCTAAAAATCATTCTGAATCTCAGTGATAGAGTTTAGACTTCTCCTCCTCCAGGTGAAGAAGAGCAAGAGCTGGGCGTGTAAAGTGTGTGGAGAGAAGCAGTCGCTGATGAAGGTAAAGAACACGAGCACAGCGTGACCTGGTGCTGTGAGTCCGGGTGTGTGTGTGTGTGTGTTGCAGCAGTTTGGTCGGGGGGCAGCAGTGGACTGTAAAGTGTGTGTCAGCGTTCGCGCTGTGTGTGTTGCAGGAGTTTGGTCGGGGGGCAGCAGTGGACTGTAATGTGTCAGCGTTCGCTCTGTGTGTGTGTTGCAGGAGTTTGGTCGGGGGGCAGCAGTGGACTGTAAAGTGTGTGTCACCGTTCGCTCTGTGTGTGTGTGTGTGTGTGTGTGTTGCAGGAGTTTGGTCGGGGGGCAGCAGTGGACTGTAGACGGCACGTTCAGAAGCTCAATGCTCTGCGAGGACGACTGGAGGACACACACACACTCGGGTCACAGCGGTGAGAAACATTCACACACACACACACACACTCGGGTCACAGCGGTGAGAAACACACACACACACACACACACACTCGGGTCACAGTGGTGAGAAACACACACACACACACACACACACACACTCGGGTCACAGTGGTGAGAAACACACACACACACACACACTCGGGTCACAGTGGTGAGAAACACACACACACTCGGGTCACAGCGGTGAAAAACACACATACACACACTTGGGTCACAGCGGTGAAAAACACACACACACACTCGGGTCACAGCGGTGAGAAACACACACACACACTTGGGTCACAGCGGTGAGAAACACACACACACACACTCGGGTCACAGCTGTGAGGAACACACACACTCGGGTCACAGCGGTGAGAAACACACACACACACACTCAGGTCACAGCTGTGAGAAACACTCACACACACACACACACACTCGGGTCACAGCGGTGAGAAACACACACACACACACACACACACACTCAGGTCACAGTGGGGAGAAACACACACACACACACACACTCGGGTCACAGTGGTGAGAAACACACACACACACACTCGGGTCACAGTGGTGAGAAACACACACACACTCGGGTCACAGCGGTGAAAAACACACATACACACACTTGGGTCACAGCGGTGAGAAACACACACACACACTCGGGTCACAGCTGTGAGAAACACACACACACACACTCGGGTCACAGCTGTGAGAAACACACACACACACTCGGGTCACAGCGGTGAGAAACACACACACACACACTTGGGTCACAGCGGTGAGAAACACACACACACACACTTGGGTCACAGCTGTGAGAAACACACACACACACACACTCGGGTCACAGCTGTGAGAAACACACACACACACACTCGGGTCACAGCGGTGAGAAACACACACACACACTCGGGTCACAGTGGTGAGAAACACACACACTCACTTGGGTCACAGCGGTGAGAAACACACACACACACACTCGGGTCACAGCTGTGAGAAACACACACACACACACTCGGGTCACAGTGGTGAGAAACACACACACACACACACACACTCGGGTCACAGTGGTGAGAAACACACACACACACACACACACACTCGGGTCACAGTGGTGAGAAACACACACACACACACACACACACACTCGGGTCACAGTGGTGAGAAACACACACACACACACACACTCGGGTCACAGTGGTGAGAAACACTCACACACACTCGGGTCACAGCGGTGAGAAACACACACACACACACACACACACACACACTCAGGTCACAGCGGTGAGAAACACACACATAACTGTCTGAAGATGTAACCTCTGATGGGAGGAATCATTATGTAATCAGATTACTTTTTCAAGTAACTAGTCAAGTTACTCATTATTTTACATTCACAACAAAATATCTGAGTTCCCTTTCGAGAACGTCCACTTCGTATTGCGTAGCTAAAGCTAGCAGGGGGAAACTCCTTTTCTCGAGAATACTGAAGTCATTATTGTAAAACGCAGTGCAGCAGCACAGCGAGCACAGAGCGTCTAGCTCACTCATTGGCTGTGCTGCAGCAACTGCACGAACCTATGGCGAGGCGGCTGAGACGCGCGAACCAATCGGGTCGCTTCGCGCCCAGTACGCGTCAGAACCCGCCAGAATGGGCGTGGCTTATGCCTATATAAGTGGACCATTTCGCCAAAGAATCAGATTAAATCTCCTCCAGCGAACACCTTCGCTGATCTCCGAGCCTTCGCCGGCGACGAGCCTCTAGCGGAACGAGCGACCTCATCCGCGGACACGGCTCCTTGAACCCGGCGCCGCCTTCCCCTGAATCGCGTTAACCTGCGGCATCCGGCGAGAGAAGCCTTATATCCTTTCTGCTCACTTCTGTGTGTTCGTCGTCGCGACACTCTAGCAGCTAAAAGAAAGAGCATATTTCTACCACGTCGGTGTTGTTGTCCGTGCTCTGGATGTACTTCATGCAGAGTGCGGGGCCGAAGGATGCCTGAACCGAGCGAGCCCACACCGAACTTATTCGCGTCCTCACTAAAGCTGTCAAAGGCCTGGACATCGAGTGGTCCCGCCTCAGGAGCCCAGCAGAAGCTGTCTCCACGGGTGGGTTCTGCCGGGCCGTCAGCAGACCCTCGTCAGAGACCAGCACCCTGCTTCCCCGAGGTGCACGACGAGCTGACCAAATCATGGTGTGCCTCTTGCCTCGCCTAAAGACATCAGACGTGTAAAAAGCTGTGTAAACACAGATTATAGCATTATAGCCTATATATTTAATCTTTATATTTACTCTACGACATGTAAAACAGTGATAGATGAGCCTCTTAGCCTTTACGCTGAGGAGAAACCCCAACACAGGTTTGAGGAGACCGAGAGAAACATGTATTTCTGCTCAGCAACACTGGACATCAACCACACGGCATACGCTCATAACTCTTCATTACTGTCTACTTTCTATGCATAACAGTTCTGTCTAATACCGTATTAGACGGCCATAGGGGAACATTTAGTTCTCTGGGAAAAGCCCTGGTTCCTGTAACTGGGTTCCTGTGACTGGGTTCCTGTAACTCTGACTGGGTTCCTGTAACTGGGTTCCTGTGACTGGGTTCCTGTAACTGTGACTGGGTTCCTGTAACTGGGTTCCTGTAACTGTGACTGTGGTCTTGTAACTGGGTTCCTGAAACTGTGACTGGGTTCCTGTAACTGGTTTCCTGTGACTGGGTTCCTATAACTGGGTTCCTGTGACTGGGTTCTTGTGACTGGGTTCCTGTAACTGGGTTCCTGTTACTGGGTTCCTGTTACTGGGTTCCTGTGACTGGGTTCCTGTGACTGGGTTCCTGTGACTGGGTTCCTGTAACTGGGTTCCTGTAACTGTGACTGTGTTCTTGTAACTGGGTTCCTGAAACTGTGACTGGGTTCCTATAACTGGGTTCCTGTGACTGAGTTCCTGTAACTGGTTTCCTGTGACTGGGTTCCTATAACTGGGTTCCTGTAACTGTGACTGTGTTCTTGTAACTGGGTTCCTGAAACTGTGACTGGGTTCCTGTAACTGGGTTCCTGTGACTGAGTTCCTGTAACTGGTTTCCTGTGACTGGGTTCCTGTAACTGGTTTCCTGTGACTGGTTTCCTATAACTGGGTTCCTGTGACTGGGTTCTTGTGACTGGGTTCCTGTAACTGGGTTCCTGTTACTGGGTTCCTGTGACTGGGTTCTTGTGACTGGGTTCCTGTGACTGGGTTCCTATAACTGGGTTCCTGTGACTGGGTTCCTGTGACTGTGTTCCTGTGACTGGGTTCCTGTGACTGGGTTCCTGTAACTGGGTTCCTGTAACTGTGACTGTGTTCTTGTAACTGGGTTCCTGAAACTGTGACTGGGTTCCTGTAACTGGGTTCCTGTGACTGGGTTCCTGTAACTGGGTTCCTGTGACTGGGTTCCTGTAACTGGTTTCCTGTGACTGGGTTCCTATAACTGGGTTCCTATAACTGGGTTCCTGTTACTGGGTTCCTGTGACTGGGTTCCTGTGACTGGGTTCCTATAACTGGGTTCCTGTAACTGTGACTGGGTTCCTGTAACTGTGACTGTGTTCTTGTAACTGGGTTCCTGAAACTGTGACTGGGTTCCTGTAACTGGGTTCCTGTGACTGGGTTCCTGTAACTGGGTTCCTGAAACTGTGACTGGGTTCCTGTGACTGAGTTCCTGTAACTGGTTTCCTGTGACTGGGTTCCTATAACTGGGTTCCTGTGACTGTGTTCTTGTAACTGGGTTCCTGTAACTGGGTTCCTGTTACTGGGTTCCTGTGACTGGGTTCTTGTGACTGGGTTCCTGTGACTGGGTTCCTGTTACTGGGTTCCTGTAACTGGTTTCCTGTGACTGGGTTCCTATAACTGGGTTCCTGTGACTGTGTTCTTGTAACTGGGTTCCTGTAACTGGGTTCCTGTGACTGGGTTCTTGTAACTGGGTTCCTGTTACTGGGTTCCTGTGACTGGGTTCCTGTGACTGGGTTCCTGTGACTGGGTTCCTGTGACTGGGTTCCTGTTACTGGGTTCCTGTAACTGGTTTCCTGTGACTGGGTTCCTATAACTGGGTTCCTGTGACTGAGTTCCTGTGACTGGGTTCCTATAACTGGGTTCCTGTGACTGTGTTCTTGTAACTGGGTTCCTGTAACTGGGTTCCTGTGACTGGGTTCCTGTGTCTGGGTTCCTGTAACTGGGTTCCTGTTACTGGGTTCCTGTGACTGGGTTCCTGTGACTGGGTTCTTGTGACTGGGTTCCTGTAACTGGGTTCCTGTAACTGGGTTCCTGTGACTGGGTTCCTGTGACTGGGTTCCTATAACTGGGTTCCTGTGACTGGGTTCCTGTAACTGGGTTCCTGTAACTGTGACTGTGTTCTTGTAACTGGGTTCCTGAAACTGTGACTGGGTTCCTGTAACTGGGTTCCTGTGACTGAGTTCCTGTAACTGGTTTCCTGTGACTGGGTTCCTATAACTGGGTTCCTGTAACTGGGTTCTTGTGACTGGGTTCCTGTAACTGGGTTCCTGTTACTGGGTTCCTGTGACTGGGTTCTTGTGACTGGGTTCCTGTGACTGGGTTCCTATAACTGGGTTCCTGTGACTGTGACTGGGTTCCTGTAACTGGGTTCCTGTAACTGTGACTGTGTTCTTGTAACTGGGTTCCTGTGACTGAGTTCCTGTAACTGGTTTCCTGTGACTGGGTTCCTATAACTGGGTTCCTGTAACTGGGTTCCTGTGACTGGGTTCCTGTGACTGGGTTCCTGTAACTGTGACTGGGTTCCTGTAACTGGGTTCCTGAAACTGTGACTGGGTTCCTGTAACTGGGTTCCTGTGACTGGGTTCCTATAACTGGGTTCCTGTGACTGTGTTCTTGTAACTGGGTTCCTGTAACTGGGTTCCTGAAACTGTAACTGGGTTCCTGTGACTGGGTTCCTGTAACTGGTTTCCTGTGACTGGGTTCCTGTAACTGGTTTCCTGTGACTGGGTTCCTATAACTGGGTTCCTATAACTGGGTTCTTGTGACTGGGTTCCTGTTACTGGGTTCCTGTTACTGGGTTCCTGTGACTGGGTTCCTGTGACTGGGTTCCTATAACTGGGTTCCTGTAACTGTGACTGGGTTCCTGTAACTGGGTTCCTGTAACTGTGACTGTGTTCTTGTAACTGGGTTCCTGAAACTGTGACTGGGTTCCTGTAACTGGGTTCCTGTGACTGGGTTCCTGTAACTGTGACTGGGTTCCTGTAACTGGGTTCCTGAAACTGTGACTGGGTTCCTGTAACTGGGTTCCTGTGACTGAGTTCCTGTAACTGGTTTCCTGTGACTGGGTTCCTATAACTGGGTTCCTGTGACTGTGTTCTTGTAACTGGGTTCCTGTAACTGGGTTCCTGTTACTGGGTTCCTGTGACTGGGTTCTTGTGACTGGGTTCCTGTGACTGGGTTCCTGTTACTGGGTTCCTGTAACTGGTTTCCTGTGACTGGGTTCCTATAACTGGGTTCCTGTGACTGTGTTCTTGTAACTGGGTTCCTGTAACTGGGTTCCTGTTACTGGGTTCCTGTGACTGGGTTCTTGTAACTGGGTTCCTGTTACTGGGTTCCTGTGACTGGGTTCCTGTGACTGGGTTCCTGTTACTGGGTTCCTGTAACTGGTTTCCTGTGACTGGGTTCCTATAACTGGGTTCCTGTGACTGAGTTCCTGTAACTGGTTTCCTGTGACTGGGTTCCTATAACTGGGTTCCTGTGACTGTGTTCTTGTAACTGGGTTCCTGTAACTGGGTTCCTGTGACTGGGTTCCTGTGACTGGGTTCCTGTAACTGGGTTCCTGTTACTGGGTTCCTGTGACTGGGTTCCTGTGACTGGGTTCTTGTGACTGGGTTCCTGTAACTGGGTTCCTGTAACTGGGTTCCTGTGACTGGGTTCCTATAACTGGGTTCCTGTGACTGGGTTCCTGTAACTGGGTTCCTGTAACTGGGTTCCTGTAACTGTGACTGTGTTCTTGTAACTGGGTTCCTGAAACTGTGGCTGGGTTCCTGTTCTGGGTTCCTGTGACTGAGTTCCTGTAACTGGTTTCCTGTGACTGGGTTCCTATAACTGGGTTCCTGTAACTGGGTTCTTGTGACTGGGTTCCTGTAACTGGGTTCCTGTTACTGGGTTCCTGTGACTGGGTTCTTGTGACTGGGTTCCTGTGACTGGGTTCCTATAACTGGGTTCCTGTAACTGTGACTGGGTTTCTGTAACTGGGTTCCTGTAACTGTGACTGTGTTCTTGTAACTGGGTTCCTGAAACTGTGACTGGGTTCCTGTAACTGGGTTCCTGTAACTGGGTTCCTGTGACTGGGTTCCTGTAACTGTGACTGGGTTCCTGTAACTGGGTTCCTGTAACTGTGACTGTGTTCTTGTAACTGGGTTCCTGAAACTGTAACTGGGTTCCTGTGACTGGGTTCCTGTGACTGGGTTCCTGTGACTGGGTTCCTGTGACTGGGTTCCTGTAACTGGGTTCCTGTGACTGGGTTCTTGTGACTGGGTTCCTGTAACTGGGTTCCTGTAACTGGGTTCTTGTAACTGGGTTCCTGTGACTGGGTTCCTGTTACTGGGTTCCTGTTACTGGGTTCCTGAGACTGGGTTCTTGTAACTGGGTTCCTGTGACTGTGTTCTTGTAACTGGGTTCCTGTGACTGGGTTCCTGTGACTGGGTTCCTTTAACTGGGTTCCTGTAACTGGGTTCTTGTAACTGGGTTCCTGTAACTGGGTTCCTGTGACTGGGTTCCTGTAACTGGGTTCCTGTAACTGGGTTCCTGTGACTGGGTTCCTGTGACTGGGTTCCTGTAACTGGGTTCTTGTAACTGGGTTCCTGTAACTGGGTTCCTGTTACTGGGTTCCTGTGACTGGGTTCTTGTAACTGTGTTCCTGTAACCGGGTTCCTGTGACTGGGTTCTTGTAACTGTGTTCCTGTTACTGGGTTCCTGTGACTGGGTTCCTGTGACTGGGTTCTTGTAACTGTGTTCCTGTAACTGGGTTCCTGTGACTGGGTTCTTGTAACTGGGTTCCTGTTACTGGGTTCCTGTGACTGGGTTCCTGTGACTGGGTTCTTGTAACTGGGTTCCTGTTACTGGGTTCCTGTGACTGGGTTCTTGTAACTGGGTTCTTGTAACTGGGTTCCTGTAACTGGGTTCCTGTGACTGGGTTCTTGTGACTGGGTTCTTGTAACTGGGTTCCTGTAACTGGGTTCCTGTGACTGGGTTCTTGTAACTGTGTTCCTGTGACTGGGTTCTTGTAACTGGGTTCCTGTAACTGGGTTCCTGTGACTGGGTTCCTGTGACTGGGTTCCTGTAACTGGGTTCCTGTAACTGGTTTCCTGTGACTGGGTTCCTATAACTGGGTTCCTGTGACTGTGTTCTTGTAACTGGGTTCCTGTAACTGGGTTCCTGTTACTGGGTTCCTTTGACTGGGTTCTTGTGACTGGGTTCCTGTGACTGGGTTCCTATAACTGGGTTCCTGTAACTGGGTTCCTGTGACTGGGTTCCTATAACTGGGTTCCTATAACTGGGTTCCTGTAACTGGGTTCCTATAACTGGGTTCCTGTGACTGGGTTCCTGTGACTGTGTTCTTGTAACTGGGTTCCTGTGACTGGGTTCCTGTGACTGGGTTCCTGTAACTGGGTTCCTGTAACTGGGTTCCTGTGACTGTGTTCCTGTGACTGTGTTCTTGTAACTGGGTTCCTGTAACTGGGTTCCTGTTACTGGGTTCCTGTGACTGGGTTCCTGTAACTGGGTTCTTATAACTGGGTTCCTGTGACTGTGTTCTTGTAACTGTGTTCCTGTTACTGGGTTCTTGTGACTGGGTTCCTGTAACTGGGTTCTTGTAACTGGGTTCCTGTGACTGTGTTCTTGTAACTGTGTTCCTGTTACTGGGTTCTTGTGACTGGGTTCCTGTAACTGGGTTCTTGTAACTGGGTTCCTGTAACTGGGTTCCTGTGACTGGGTTCCTGTTACTGGGTTCCTGTGACTGGGTTCTTGTAACTGGGTTCCTGTGACTGGGTTCCTGTGACTGGGTTCCTGTGACTGGGTTCCTGTGACTGGGTTCCTGTAACTGGGTTCCTGTGACTGGGTTCTTGTGACTGGGTTCCTGTAACTGGGTTCCTGTAACTGGGTTCTTGTAACTGGGTTCCTGTGACTGGGTTCCTGTTACTGGGTTCCTGTTACTGGGTTCCTGAGACTGGGTTCTTGTAACTGGGTTCCTGTGACTGGGTTCCTGTGACTGGGTTCCTTTAACTGGGTTCCTGTAACTGGGTTCTTGTAACTGGGTTCCTGTAACTGGGTTCCTGTGACTGGGTTCCTGTAACTGGGTTCCTGTAACTGGGTTCCTGTGACTGGGTTCCTGTGACTGGGTTCCTGTAACTGGGTTCTTGTAACTGGGTTCCTGTAACTGGGTTCCTGTTACTGGGTTCCTGTGACTGGGTTCTTGTAACTGTGTTCCTGTAACTGGGTTCCTGTAACCGGGTTCCTGTAACCGGGTTCCTGTGACTGGGTTCTTGTAACTGTGTTCCTGTAACTGGGTTCCTGTTACTGGGTTCCTGTGACTGGGTTCCTGTGACTGGGTTCTTGTAACTGTGTTCCTGTAACTGGGTTCCTGTGACTGGGTTCTTGTAACTGGGTTCCTGTTACTGGGTTCCTGTGACTGGGTTCCTGTGACTGGGTTCTTGTAACTGGGTTCCTGTTACTGGGTTCCTGTGACTGGGTTCTTGTAACTGGGTTCTTGTAACTGGGTTCCTGTAACTGGGTTCCTGTGACTGGGTTCTTGTGACTGGGTTCTTGTAACTGGGTTCCTGTAACTGGGTTCCTGTGACTGGGTTCTTGTAACTGTGTTCCTGTGACTGGGTTCTTGTAACTGGGTTCCTGTAACTGGGTTCCTGTGACTGGGTTCCTGTGACTGGGTTCCTGTAACTGGGTTCCTGTAACTGGGTTCCTGTGACTGGGTTCTAGTAACTGGGTTCCTGTAACTGGGTTCCTGTGACTGGGTTCTTGTAACTGGGTTCCTGTAACTGGGTTCCTGTAACTGCCCAGTGTGAAGAGGCTGTTGTAATTACATAACTGTCCCCAACACTGGTTACAACCAGTCTAAAGTTGTTACATATATTTTTCAGGCTATTTATCATTACACCTTGAATGCATGCGAGTACAAATCTTGATCATCATTTTTAAAAAAAATATATATAATATAAACACTATATTTACCTTGTCATAAAAAGGTCAAATTATCTGATATTTTAAGAGACTTTAAAAAGTTTTTTCCTGCATCACATGACAAAAGTTTTTCAGAAATAATTAAGATGTAAAAGTAGTTCTGTTAATCAGTTAAAAGTTGAATTAATTATTTTTTTCAAGATTTGAATTATTTGATATCAGGACAGCTCAACCCTGACATTCACTTTTTCACCCCAAAAATATATATATATAAAAAAAAATTAATACAGAAAAGCTCATCATGACTATGAAATACATTCTTTAATGCAAAGCATTTTTGAATAAATGAATATGTGAAGGAAAGTGCGCTTCACGTAACTGACCCTTTGACTAACTCACTGTTGTAAAGGGAACAGGATGAAGATGAGGAGGAGGATGAAGGCCTGGATCCGGATCAGGAGAATACATCTCAGGTAAAGCTCTGATGGAGGTCATCATGAAGAGAGAAACTCTGACTGAGAAACGGTGTGTTTGTGATATCCCTGTGGCTGTGACAGGAAGTGTGTCGTCATGTGAGCCGCTGGAGTAAATACACACCTGAGGCTGCAGATGAAGAGGAGGAGGAGGAGGAGGAGGAGGCATACACACACACACAGAGGTTCAGGAGCCAGGGAAACAGGTCCGTTTCAGTTCATCAGGGCAAATACTGTGGCTATGAACTCTTTCCCCGCCACTGTGGCTATGAACTCTTTCCCCGCGTCTGACGAGCTCTGTCGTGCAGATGAGGTTACAGCTGTTGTACTGTAGGGGGCGCTATTACACACTGCAGTATCTCCTGATCACAGCACAGCAGAAGAAGAAGAAACTGATCTTTCATCATTGCTCTGAATCACATTTGGACGAAGACTTTGACAAAAATGCGATTTCTCAGTTTTTTCCTCAAAATGCTCATAAAACAGATTTGTGTTGTTTACAAGCAGAGGCTCTGTTCTTTCTTTGGATATATCCAATATTCAGATATACACTCACCTAAAGGACTATTAGGAACACCATACTAATACTGTGTTTGACCCCCTTTCGCCTTCAGAACTGCCTTAATTCTACGTGGCATTGATTCAACAAGGTGCTGAAAGCATTCTTTAGAAATGTTGGCCCATATTGATAGGATAGCATCTTGCAGTTGATGGAGATTTGTTGGATGCACATCCAGGGCACGAAGCTCCCGTTCCACCACATCCCAAAGATGCTCTATTGGGTTGAGATCTGGTGACTGTGGGGGCCATTTTAGTACAGTGAACTCATTGTCATGTTCAAGAAACCAATTGGAAATGATTCGAGCTTTGTGACATGGTGCATTATCCTGCTGGAAGTAGCCATCAGAGGATGGGCACATGGTGGCCATAAAGGGATGGACATGGTCAGAAACAATGCTCAGGTAGGCCGTGGCATTTAAACGATGCCCAATTGGCACTAAGGGGCCTAAAGTGTGCCAAGAAAACATCCCCCCCACCATTACACCACCACCACCAGCCTGCACAGTGGTAACAAGGCATGATGGATCCATGTTCTCATTCTGTTTACGCCAAATTCTGACTCTACCATCTGAATGTCTCAACAGAAATCGAGACTCATCAGACCAGGCAACATTTCTCCAGTCTTCAACTGTCCAATTTTGGTGAGCTCTTGCAAATTGTAGCCTCTTTTTCCTATTTGTAGTGGAGATGAGTGGTACCCGGTGGGGTCTTCTGCTGTTGTAGCCCATCCGCCTCAAGGTTGTGCGTGTTGTGGCTTCACAAATGCTTTGCTGCATACCTCGGTTGTAACGAGTGGTTATTTCAGTCAAAGTTGCTCTTCTATCAGCTTGAATCAGTCGGCCCATTCTCCTCTGACCTCTGGCATCAACAAGGCATTTTCGCCCACAGAACTGCCGCTCACTGGATGTTTTTCCCTTTTCACACCATTCTTTGTAAACCCTAGAAATGGTTGTGTGTGAAAATCCCAGTAACTGAGCAGATTGTGAAATACTCAGACCGGCCCGTCTGGCACCAACAACCATGCCACACTCAAAATTGCTTAAATCACCTTTCTTTCCCATTCTGACATTCAGTTTGGAGTTCAGGAGATCGTCTTGACCAGGACCACACCCCTAAATGCATTGAAGCAACTGCCATGTGATTGGTTGATTAGATAATTGCATTAATGAGAAATTCAACAGGTGTTCCTAATAATCCTTTAGGTGAGTGTATATATACTAACAAATATTCTGGAGGCCGTGAAAGTTGTGTTAAAATGACCAGAACCGCTGGCGGTGGCAATTACAAAAAAAAGAAAGAAAAAAAACGCTGGCGGGGAAAGAGTTGTAATTATTAATAAAAACAAAGGATCTTAGCACAAAAGCATCATGGAACATGTTTAACTTGTCTTGTATTTTCAGAATGGCAATGTTTAACGCTATTTAGTTTTTGTGAACAGAAAGAGGCAGAAGGTGTGCAGTGTGAAGAGTTCTGGCCCGTATGATGTGTGTGAGGAAGAGCAGTCCTGGACCCGCGGCTCGGGGTTTAAGAGGCCGGATCTGGTAACACACACACCTAGAGTACACCAGCTTCGGGACACACGATCACATGCAACAGCGTCTTTAACGGCTGCTCTCCGTCTCATAGCTGCACGCATCCTGTCACTCAAACTGAGCTGTCAATCATCTGGTCACAGATTGAATCCTCCACATGTCATGTCCTCTGTATGTAGAGGAACGCTGGTCTGCCATGACGAGACTCCTCTTAATGCCGAATGATGCGGTTAACAGTGAACGGATCTTTATGAAAGTCCACACTGTTATTGCAGATGAAATATAACACGGATAACACTACATACATGTTTTTTAATCAGGTTAAACTTTGATTAGTCACTCAAGCCTTTATCCGAACCTCTCACCGTCGGTCGCGCACATCCGCCATGTTTGTAGTTTAACACTTTTTACTCGTGTTCGTAGTTCCTCCTCCAAAGCGCAGTGGGTTGTGGGTAATATCAGCCGGTATAGTGAGCACGGATACACACTCCGGATGTGTGTGTCTGCACGGGTTCACAGCTCGTGTATTTCCATGTGTGTGTGGAAAAGTACCAAAAAGAAGAATAAGTACTGGGGTGGGGTATAATATTTTCTCGATCTGAACAGTTTTAATTGCTCAAATGAACTTTGACTCTGGTAATTGTGGGTTTTGTTTAAACCCTTTTGTGTCCATTAAAGAGTTGACGGGAAGAACGAAGAAGACCTCAGAGTATTGTTATATGTAACGTGTGTTTGATCCCGCTATCCTGGGTTAGTTTAGTCAGGTCTACTCCTGTCTGTCCCAACGCTTCCAGTTAAAACATGGTATCTAATATTGATTAAAACGGTCTAATCTGAGGACTTTCCACACACTCAGCTTTGGCACACACTTACTCTAGTCTCACACACTGGTTAGGATGATAGTGACACTGGGTCTCATTCATGAAACATTCGTCAATATACGAGTAAATATGCGAGTGATTTGCGCGTAAAGAGACCTTCCCGAAAAACTCTTCTCCTGATTCACAAATACTTCGTAAACGTCAGATGTGATAGTGAAATGTGTGTGTGTGTTAATGAATTCCAATCAGTCGTAAATGGGACGCGTGTGCACGCTAATTCTCAATTACCATAAATCCCGCCCATTAAATCCGACTGACAACTATATATGGGCATCATATTATGACATGAATGCGAATGAAAAAAAATAAATCTCCGATGCAGAAATTGAAGTTTTATTATCAGAAGTTCATTCAAAACGCCACATTTTATTTTCAAGCGTACATAGTGGTGTATCGGGTCCTAAAAAAAGCAAGCTTGGCAGCATATTAGATGCAGTTACTGGAGTTTCATCTGTTAATCGAACATTCCCAGAAGTGAAGAAAATGGTTCGACATTAAAGGTGCTCTAAGCGATGTCACGCGTTTTTTAGGCCAAAACATTTTTTGTCACATACAGCAAACATCTCCTCTCTATTCGCTGGCTGCCTGTCCCCTGAACACACTGTAAAGAAACGCGGTCTCTGTAGACAGCCCAGGCTCCACAAACAGCAACAAAAACAAACTGCAGCGACCCGCTCCCTGAAACATAATAAACTGTTCCAGCCAATGACCGACAAGAAGGGTTTGGGGGTGTGGTTTGGGGGGTTAGTGTGCAGATGAGGAGGAGGGAGGGTCTAGCTAGCCTCCGTTTTGTTTGAAAATAGTTCGAACGTCAACAAGAAGTGACGTCACCCAGGATCGCTTAGAGAACCTTTAAGCTTGAGGGCAAAAAACGAATTAGTTCACTTCGGAAAAATAGTATTCAAACTGGAGAAGGACCACCATCGCAGATGCTATTACTGGCTCTCATAATAAGAAAAACCGTATGTAATTACTATATATAATATTTTTTCAAAATGCTGTGCAAATATGTACCCGATTAAGGTGAATTAAAATGCAGCCTTAGTTATTAATGAGCAAAACGTTCGGGTGTTAAGCGCACTATTTACGTGTGGCTGGAGCAGGTGTAGATTTCTTTCCTACCAACTAACATTTGGAAAATATGAACATTTTAATGAATCCGAAAATTTACGCCAGAACCACTTTACACACGATTTATACAAAAATTCGTTCTGCTCGTGTTTCATGAATGAGACCCATTGAGTCTGACTTCTCTTTTGCAGCGCGACAGGAGGATCAGTGCCGGGTCAGATGATGCGATCCCGTGCCGTCGCACACATCTCCCAGCATCCCGTCCGGCTGTTCACAGCTACACACACACACACACGGTGGAAACCCCTGTGGCCGTGACTCCTCCGGTGTCTGAGAGGGACTCCAGGTGGGACAGGTTCCTCCGAGCGGCTCCCACTCACCCGGACGAGGAAGAGGAGGAAGATGAAGCTCATCCTGTCCCTCAGTGCAGTGATGACACACTGATGGCTTATCCCACAGCAGATGACCAGACGTGTGTGTGGGGCATTCCTGCGGACCGACGTCTCCCCAGTAAAACCAGCAGTCACACACACACAGAACACACACACAAGCCTTCACACACACACACAGTCTGTGAACGGGCCAACACGCCAAAGCTTTCTTACAACCCCCTGTTCCTCACCGATGAAGACTTCGACGACACGCTTTGAAGAATAAGATGCGTTCTGTCTGAAACATTTTCTTTTAAGGATGTTTAACGAACGAAGTTAGTGTGATGTTTGAATGTTCTCTTCAATAAATATAAAGATGCATTGGTATTACATTTTACATCTTATACAAGGATCCTTATTTATAGCAAAAAGTGCATTTGTGTGTAAGGGCTATAATCGGGTCCCGGTGTATGGAGTTAATATTGTGCCATAATTAAACAAACTCGATAAACGGAGCAATGTGCAAGTACAAAGGTCAACTTGAGTGAAAACGCAGAGGAGTAACACACATGCATTGTATCTTGCTAATATAAATAAATGAGCCTAGAAAATATTTCACAAATAAATACAAACCATCCTACAAATTGCATGTAACCTTTGAACAAATACCAAATCTAGTGCATTCAAATGCATATCTGTCTGTTATGACTGTGAGACACTTGGCTTTTCATAAGATCTCTTGGCTTAATTTTCTCACAAATCAGCTCCTCCCCCTTTTCGAATAGCCAATAGCGTTTAGTTTCCCTCACAGACTGACGGCACATGGAAGCGAACCCGAGCGCTGGATTCAACAGTAGAGGATTCATTCATAACCAGCGTACAGTTGGAGAACAGAAAACTGTTAGATAAAACTAGGGGGCGGAGCTTCAGATTCTAGAGAGCATGTGATTGGACAGAAGATGTGATGAGAAGCAGTGATGTCATAAAAATCTCTGATCCATTTTAGCGGAAGTGAGAGACTAAGTTTTGAATGCGTATATCTCCTAAATGTGAATTTTGTTATTGTTTTGGAACACAGCAGCTTATTCATAACCTAAAGGCTAACATGTTTATATTAAAAGCTATATATTTTTTTTTTTTTAAACTTAAATTTTTATTTCAGGGGGCCTTTAAGTTTTGCACATTGAAAAAAAAAAAATCCAAATACCGTTACAAGAAATATTTTGGAGAATCTTTTTATTGCGAAGAGAAAGTACAGCACATTCACTGATTCCATCCGTTTACTCAAACTATATTAGCCATAACTAAATTAAGATACAACCCAGGTTTCTGCTTCAACTAAAAACTCAGCTTATTGATTATGGAAATGCAAATAAAACATCCATAAACTGTGATTACACAAATATAGAGCTTTACTTAACAACAGCCTTTAAGTAATATGCATATATGATGATGATAATGATCATTAATAGCATGAAGTGTTCTAATGACAGACACGTTGAATATATATATATATATTTTGCATAAAAGGCCAATAATGAACTGAAGTATGTGCTAGTCACCTGAGTCATCGTTATCCTGGTAAACCTTTACAATACGGTTTCATTAGTTAACATTATTTCACTTATATAGTTAATATGAACTAAGAATGAACAATCCTTCAATAGCAGGTATTAATCTTACTGTTCATTTCAGCACTTATTATTACTTTACTAGTATTTTTTAATACTAATATTAAAATCAAATGTTGTGTTTGATAACATTAATGCACTATTTCTCATGGTTAGTTTATGTTCGTTAATGCATAAACTAATGTTAACAACTGAAACCTCATTGTAAAGTGTTACCTTAACATTTACGGCAAACGTTTGCGTATATAAAAGTATGTAAAGACTGTGGTGCGGGGGTGTGTGTCCTGCGCGGGGTGTGTGTCCTGCGCGGGGTGTGTGTCCTGCTCCTCTACTTGCGAGGGCTCTTGCAGTACTGGATGGTGTCGAGAGCGGAGCCGATGTCGAAGCCCTTGGCGTGCAGGAGTCGCGTCAGCCATCCGCCCTCGTCAGAGAAGCCCATCGACAGCATCTGAGAGAGTGACTCCACCAGCCGGGGGTCCGCATCTGGGGGACACACACTCGTCAGCTAGAAGACTCACACACTCGTCAGCTAGAAGACTCACACACTCGTCAGCTAGAAGACTCACACACTCGTCAGCTAGAAGACTCACACACTCGTCAGCTAGAAGACTCACACACCCGTCAGCTAGAAGACTCACACACTCGTCAGCTAGAAGACTCACACACTCGTCAGCTAGAAGACTCACACACTCGTCAGCTAGAAGACTCACACACTCGTCAGCTAGAAGACTCACACACACTCGTCAGCTAGAAGACTCACACACACTCGTCAGCTAGAAGACTCACACACTCGTCAGCTAGAAGACTCACACACTCGTCAGCTAGAAGACTCACACACCCGTCAGCTAGAAGACTCACACACTCGTCAGCTAGAAGACTCACACACACTCGTCAGCTAGAAGACTCACACACTCGTCAGCTAGAAGACTCACACACTCGTCAGCTAGAAGACTCACACACTCGTCAGCTAGAAGACTCACACACCCGTCAGCTAGAAGACTCACACACTCGTCAGCTAGAAGACTCACACACACTCGTCAGCTAGAAGACTCACACACTCGTCAGCTAGAAGACTCACACACTCGTCAGCTAGAAGACTCACACACTCGTCAGCTAGAAGACTCACACACTCGTCAGCTAGAAGACTCACACACTCGTCAGCTAGAAGACTCACACACTCGTCAGCTAGAAGACTCACACACTCGTCAGCTAGAAGACTCACACACACTCGTCAGCTAGAAGACTCACACACACTCGTCAGCTAGAAGACTCACACACTCGTCAGCTAGAAGACTCACACACACTCGTCAGCTAGAAGACTCACACACTCGTCAGCTAGAAGACTCACACACCCGTCAGCTAGAAGACTCACACACTCGTCAGCTAGAAGACTCACACACACTCGTCAGCTAGAAGACTCACACACTCGTCAGCTAGAAGACTCACACACTCGTCAGCTAGAAGACTCACACACTCGTCAGCTAGAAGACTCACACACTCGTCAGCTAGAAGACTCACACACACTCGTCAGCTAGAAGACTCACACACACTCGTCAGCTAGAAGACTCACACACTCGTCAGCTAGAAGACTCACACACTCGTCAGCTAGAAGACTCACACACTCGTCAGCTAGAAGACTCACACACTCGTCAGCTAGAAGACTCACACACTCGTCAGCTAGAAGACTCACACACTCGTCAGCTAGAAGACTCACACACACTCGTCAGCTAGAAGACTCACACACTCGTCAGCTAGAAGACTCACACACTCGTCAGCTAGAAGACTCACACACTCGTCAGCTAGAAGACTCACACACTCGTCAGCTAGAAGACTCACACACCCGTCAGCTAGAAGACTCACACACTCGTCAGCTAGAAGACTCACACACTCGTCAGCTAGAAGACTCACACACTCGTCAGCTAGAAGACTCACACACTCGTCAGCTAGAAGACTCACACACTCGTCAGCTAGAAGACTCACACACTCGTCAGCTAGAAGACTCACACACTCGTCAGCTAGAAGACTCACACACACTCGTCAGCTAGAAGACTCACACACTCGTCAGCTAGAAGACTCACACACTCGTCAGCTAGAAGACTCACACACTCGTCAGCTAGAAGACTCACACACTCGTCAGCTAGAAGACTCACACACTCGTCAGCTAGAAGACTCACACACTCGTCAGCTAGAAGACTCACACACCCTTATTGTGCATTATTGATCATTATTAGCGTGTAAATATTTCCTCGGATCATGAGTTCTGCTGTTATCATGCGCTCAGCAAACATTAAACACAGAAGTGTTCAACAGCAGCGCATACACTACTAATATTGTGAGCGTGCACAGTATTTATGATTATGACTCATGACGAATATTACAGTGGTTCTCCTTCATCAGTTCCTCAGATCTCCATCCGTGTCTCCAAGCTCTAGTGTCTCTAACGTGCGTACACATGGCTGGTGTGTGTGTATGAGTCAGATCTCGTGTGTGTGTGTGTGTGTGTGTGGCGTACAGCTCATACGGTTTCCACAGTGAGAGTTTACATGGAAAACAGAACGGTTATTCATTATTATATCACGGAGTCAGCGGGCAAAGAGTGGTTCCCCATCACTGTCATCTAACGCATATTCTTGGTTATAAATGCTGAAGCTTTCTGCCTGATATGAATTATTGCATCTATAACTGGTTGTTTCTGCTGAGACGGCTCTGATTGGCCTTCATGAGCTGGACAGAGGTGTGTGTGATGGGTTGTAGTGTCACCTTGAGGCAGGTGTGGGTACAGCGCCGCCTCGCGCAGGCCCGTGGGTCCCGCTGTGGTTCTGGAGCTGGAGTTCAGCGGCGCCGCCTGGCCCGGCCCGTCCTCCTCCACCCTGAGGGACTGCAGCTCTCCTGTGGACGGGTCCACCTCTTTAGAGCTCAGGTGAGTCCACTCCTCGTCACTGCCCGGCTCCTTCTGGCCCTTCAGGAGCACAATAAATACTGTAACTAATGTATTGCTCATTGTTAGTTCATGTTAGGCTGCCGGGCCCTGAGCCCCGGGACAGGAGGCCCTCCAGCTCTGTGTGTGTGTGTGTCTGTGTGAGTGTGTGTGTGTGTGTGTGTGTGTGTGTGTGTGTGTGTGTGTGTGTGTGTGTGTGTGTGTTACCTTGGCCCCCTCGCTGAGGCTCTCCTCAGTGCTCTGGCTGCCGGGCCCCGAGCCCCGGGACAGGAGGCCCTCCAGCTCTGTGTGTGTGTGTGTCTGTGTGAGTGTGTGTGTGTGTGTGTGTGTGTGTGTGTGTGTGTGTGTGTGTGTGTGTGTGTGTGTGTGTGTGTTACCTTGGCCCCCTCGCTGAGGCTCTCCTCAGTGCTCTGGCTGCCGGGCCCCGAGCCCCGGGACAGGAGGCCCTCCAGCTCTGTGTGTGTGTGTGTGTGTGTGTGTGTGTGTGTTACCTTGGCCCCCTCGCTGAGGCTCTCCTCAGTGCTCTGGCTGCCGGGCCCCGAGCCCCGGGACAGGAGGCCCTCCAGCTCTGTGTGTGTGTGTGTGTGTGTGTGTGTGTGTGTGTTACCTTGGCCCCCTCGCTGAGGCTCTCCTCAGTGCTCTGGCTGCCGGGCCCCGAGCCCCGGGACAGGAGCCCCACACACCCGCTGTCGCTGCGAGCGCTGGACGGGCCGCTGGAGGCCGGGGGGGTCGAGGTGTTCACCGTGGCCCGCTTGCCCTCGTGCTCGACGTCGATGTCCACATCTATCCCTGCAGACGAGAGCATCATTACCCAGCATGCCTAGCACAGAAGCGTCCGGATGGTGTTAAGCTAAGTGCAGGGACTGACCGAGAGGACTCAGCAGCGCCGCCACTTCCTCCCCGATGTTCTTCAGGTACTGCATGTTGGCCTGGGAAGAGGACGCCGCGCCTGAGGAGGACAGAGGGCCTGTTGGTCCACCGCAGAGTAGCAATATTTCAGCTCATAATTCATAAACATATACATGCACTGCAGTTCAAAAGATTGCGATCGGTTAGATTTTTTATGTTTTTAAAAGAGTCTCTTCTGCTCACGAGGCTGCAAGGCTGCATTTATTTGATTAAAATACAAAAAAAAATTTAAGTAAAATAATATTGTTAAATATTATGACAATTTAAAATAACCGTTTTCTATTTTAATATATTTTAAAATATTCCTGTGATCAAAGCTGAATTTTCAGCATCATTACTCCAGTCTTCAGTGTCACATGATCCTTCAGAAATCACTCTAATATGAGGATCTGATGCTCAAGAAACATTTATGATTATTATCAGTGTTGAACACAGCTGCATAAAAAAATATCCAGCATTTTTCTGAAATAGAAGCTTTTGTAACATTAAACACTACTGTTTAATGTTACAACAGTAACAGGGGGGTAAATAAAAAAAATATATATTTTTATTCATAAAGGATTAATTAAATTGATCAAAAGTTACAGTTAAGACATTTATAATGTTACACAAGCTTCTAGGTTAGGGTTCTAGTATGGGTTTCAACATCATAAGTGTTTCTTGAGCATCAGATCCTCATATTAGAGTGATTTCTGAAGGATCATGTGACTCTGCAGACTGGAGTAATGATGCTGAGATCACAGGAAGTGACATCACTGGGATCTGCCCTGTCTCGTGTCCAGCTCATCCGCCGCCTGTGGACGGACACAGAGAAGGCATCTCACCGTCAGTGTTTGCCGGAGCGTCCTGGTTCTGCGGGTCTCCGGACGGGTTCTGCTGGGCCTGAGCTTGAGCATTAGCATTAGCATTAGCATGAGCCTGGCTATTCGCCCACATGCAGTGTCTCATCTTACGCCATAACTTCCCACGAGGAAACCACTGCACACAAAAGCTCTCGGTCAATCAACGCTCACATTATTATTTCAAAAACAAAATGTATGCATTAAAATAGAGCTGTGACTAACGATTATTTTGATACTCGATTAGTTGGACGATTATTTCTTCGATTAATCGGATTAAAAAGCCCCGGTTTTTCTTTTTCTTGTTTTTTGGACAAAACACACTATTCCATGTCCTGGCCAAAGCTGTCCTTCAAACTAATGTGCCAACCTAATGCTATGAAAACAGTGAATATACTGTATCTATATCTGTGCTATGTGCAAAAGAGCTATAAGGACAGTTTAAATCCCTACATTAATAATGAAGATAATAAATAAAAACAAACTCAGTGTTAGCCGATAAGAGGAATGTTCTGCAGGAACACACACATTCACTCTCATAACCACTATCATAAAATACTTCAATTACAAATACTTAAATGTTGATTTTTAAACCTAAATTTAATGCCCAACAACAGATATTTCAGCAAAATGAATATTTTTGCGCTGCATATTAACTGTAATGCGCCGGCGCTCATTCAGTGAAGTCTGAAGTTTAGCGCAGACGATCAGACTAAATGTGTGGATTTGTAACACTTACAGGTAACGATACAACCGAAAAATGTACGTTTTGAAACATATCACGCATTAAAGGGATAGTTCACTTTAAAAATTTATTTTTCTTATGTTTTAGCTTACCTCAAGGGCATCCAATGATGTCTTTGTTTCCGCAGTAGTTTTGATATTTTTTGGTCAAACCGTTCTTGTCTGTCAGTGATATAATGCAGGTCTATGGTCACCACCTCAAAGAGCAGCACAGAGAAGTCCAAATTAAACATGATTTAATGACTCGTAAATGTAAGTACACATTGATGGCCTAAGACACGAAACGAGCGGTTTGTGTGAGAAAACGAACAGTATTTATATCGGTTTTACCTCTTGTAACCACAGCCACGTCCAAGTGATCTGAGGGCGCCGGCGCTTCGGTCTGGAAGTGATCTCTCGCGCGTGTACATCACTCATTGTTTACACAGAGATTTCGGAAGTGTTACCTTTCACTGTGAAGATCTAAACATATTTAGATATACAGGAAATCGCAATGGAAGACGATTTCGATATATCAACAGACAACGTTGAATTTTTTTGGAAGAGATCACTTCCGGCACTTTCCGGCGCTGGCGCAGAACGAAGCGCCGGCGCCCTCAGATCACTTGGACGTGGCTGTGTTTACAAGAGGTAAAAACGATATAAATACTGTTCGTTTTCTCACACAAACCGCTCGTTTCGTGTCTTAGGCCATCAATGTGTACTTACATTTACGAGTCATTAAATCATGTTTAATTTGGACTTCTCTGTGCTGCTCTTTGAGGTGGTGACCATAGACCTGCATTATATGACTGACAGACAAGAACGGTTTGACCTAAAAATATCAAAACTACTGCGGAAACAAAGACACCTACATCTCGGATGCCCTTGAGGTAAGCTAAAACACACCAAAAATTAATTTCAAAGTGAACTATCCCTTTAAACAGCACACGCATCCGTTAAAGCGTCTGACAGGAGCGCTACGCTGGAAGCCGTAAATAAAGCGCTCTCGTGTTTTGAGGATCCCGCATCAGCTCGCGCTGTGTCCAACACATGTGTTATTCAGCGCTGTAGTTTTCCTCTGGTGGACAGTGCAGTGGGCAGAGAGAGCGTCACCTCGAACATGTTGCTCATGGGGTGGAGGATGGGCAGCAGCGCGTGCTCCTTGTGGAGGCCCCGGCCCTGGCAGGACGAGCACAGGTCGTAGTCCGGGCACACCGTGCACTTGAAGCGGGTCCCCGGCACCGGGCCCTCGCAGCCGTCGCAGGTCACCCCGGGGTGCACCAGCGGGGGGTGGTGGGGCGGCGGGCCCGGGTGAGGGGGGGTAAAGTGGGCCGCTCCGTGAGGCCCGGGGAACGAGAACCCAGGGAAGCCGTGAGGAGAAGAGTCACGTCGGTGCTCTTTTCTTTCTGAGGAGGGGAGGAACATGACAGGGCTGTGACGGACTGGTCGAGCTCACAGTTGGCAACACTTGTGTCCTTGTTACACATCTTACATGTACTTACCGTAGTAATAACAGTCAATTATGCATAATTACATGTAACTAACCCTCATCCAAACCACTGATCCATCACTTATGCTCTCTTATTGTTGTTTTTTGTCTATTTTTCATGGTATTTTGATAATTTAACATGTTGTGTGTGTTTGAATAATGTATATCATCGCATATCATTAACAGCGAACTAGCAGGAGTCTCAAGTAAAGCCAGGTTATACCAGTATATTTTTCTGTTAATAAGAAAAATCAGGTACTTTTAGCAATATAGTAAGTTATAAACTCAGTAAGTTGAGCGAGTGGATCTCTGAGCTGAGTGAGTGAGTGGAGGCGGGGCTCATTTGCATATTCATAGAACCGCGCATACTAAATGAGGCAAGGGTGTCGAGTTACATTCAAGATATTTAAAGGCGTGAAGACATTTTTTAAAGGAAAAACCGTTTAAATATGTAATTTTGGTGATCAAAGATGAGTTTTAAGGGATAAAATGACTGACTACAGGGGGACTTTAACAAAAACATTAAATCCTAAAACAGCCAGGTAGTGCAACCATCAGGTAAAAAGAAAGTGTTTTCCTTGAATACACCTGTGCACACCTGTGCAACTAACCAAGCCTTTCATAAATCACCGACTTCAATAACATCTACTGACTTTGACATACGGGTGTAAAGAGTTGTACGTCAGGATTCAAAGCATTCATACAACAGAGTGACATCTGACACCGGCAGGCTCAGTGACAACACGAATGCAGTGTGTCCAGATTACACGTCTACTGTAGGAGCGCAAAACACGGCTCGTGATTTGAAGTAGCTTAACACTAGTCACTTTGCATGATCGCTCGCTCAAACATTAATGTTATCCTATATAATGCGCACTATTGTTAAACGCATATCCAGAGTGGGCAAGCTAGATTAGTATCGCGTTTACTGGATGATGTTTAACTTAATGTGCATTTCTGATGACGAGTCGGTGTCATCAACTTCATCTTTACAGCCACACTCACTCAGAAAACATCAATAAACTATCAGAAGTGAAGTAATTCAATTAAATGTGCCACTGCTAATGTACGACTAGACACATCTTTAGTCGTGGGCAGCCTTATGAAGTTATCTCTTATTAAAAACAAGTTCCTCCTCAGAAAGTATGTGATTTTGGACAGTCATAAAGGTTTAATGGGTCTCAGTGATACTTCAAAATGTGTTGACCACAAAATAGCTCTGTGCATTCAGATCTGGCTTAGGTTTTATTACTTTTTTTTTTAGTTACACTACCTAGTCATTGTTTTTAATATTTTCAATGTTAATAATAGAAGAGTGTAACTGTGTATTGGAAATTGTAGTGAAGCCATGGTGTGTTTAAACTGCATTTATGAGTAGCTTAATAGAGCCGTAAAATGAGATAAGCACATCATAGACACGAGGCGAGGCTTTGCTGACTACCTCTGACAACATCAGTTGTTTTTTACATTTTATTTTTGAAAAAACATGAAGTACTGTCAGTCTTGTGTCTAAACTCATGACCAACAGATAATGATGATGATGTGTCATAAGTTCTTGAAGTTGAGCAATATTTAAATGTGGACCAAACGCCACTAAAATATATGTGAATAGATATATAATATGCTCCAATAATGAGAAGTATCTTGTAAGTGAATGTGACTTACGCTTGATGAAGAGCCGGAAGGTGTCCTCCTTCACCAGAGCCAGCCCCATCATCAGCTCGTCATCAGAGGAGAAGGCGATCAGGTCACCGTCCTCATCTGCACACAGCAGGAGTTCACACACTCACCATTATGATGATCATGTTTACATTTCACGGTCGGTCCATAACAATCCGTTCACATTACTTGTCATTTAATAGCATTTATTATGCTCACAAAACTTTGTATTAGGGTGTCAATACACACACACAAAACTATATTTAACAATATAGTACCATTTAAAAAAGAAAACTAATATATTTTATTTTGAAGAGATTAATTTTCCTAAAAGTGACAGTTATATGTTGACAGTATTGTCACTTTATGAAATCTCATTTAGACTTCGTGTAGTTAAGTTAAAACATAATGTTTAGCTGTTAAAATTTACACACGACAATAATTGTATGTTTACATACACGTACCATACATCCTTAAAACAATCTGACGTACCTTTATAGTGCATTTGAAAGGGCGCAGTCCCGAGACCGACAAAAACATCGAGCACTTTTCTGTTCAAATAGTCAAAACTTGTTGAGACGTCCTGATCCACGGCGAAGCGACGGATCTCCTTGTTGCAGTCGTCCTTCCCGAGCAGGTAAGCTTTCACTGTCATCGACATTTTAGCGAGAATATCGTGTTCAAACGGACCTTTAGACGTGTTGCGCAGCAGAAAATCCTCTTCTAGAGCGCGAGCGTCGGCGCTGAGTGCGTGAGCGTGCGTGTGAATGCGTTCCTTCCTCAGCCCTCAGTTCTGTATATAATCCTTCGACGTCATATGCAGATGATGCGCGCGCTCAACCAATCGTAGACGCGAGCGCAAGTCTGGAGGCGTGGCCTCGCGCGTCTCGGGGACAGAGTTCATGTTGACTCTGATCATGTGAGTCGAGTCGCATTAGTAAACACAGTGGGCTGATGAGGAGTGACACGGCAATATGTGCGGGGAAATTCCCTCTGAATCACACACTGCATCACGGCCAAACAATACAGCATCATGCTCATGAGATATTAATAAGCATACAGTTCACGTAGTAGGCTATTCACTTTTTAAAAATGGTAGCTACATTTATATCTCGGTCGTTTTGAGACAGGGAATGCCTCACACACACTCTCTCTCCACAGCTGTATAATAATATAGCTAAACACGGTTTTTCCACATGTTAATATTCATGTATTTAAATATTGATAGGCGTATATTTGTGATGTAATGTTAGTGTCCCCACACGTGTGAGACTGCTGTGTCAGTGTGCTGTCAGCATGGACTCTGTCTATCCATCATCGAGCTCATGTATTTCTGCTACAGTGAATAAAGTGCAGTGTCATCATGAATGCCTCCATCAACACACATTCAGTAAACCACTACGCTTGAGAATTCATCAAGTATTAAGTAGGCCTATTTGAAGATCAGCGGTGTTCTGAAATGAGGAGGCAAGTCCTCAGTTTGTAAAATGTTTATATAGGCTATATGTAATCAAATGTACATTCATGTCCCAGTTACACTTAATGTTGTCATTTTCCTGACTAAATAAACATTACATCAAAAAAGAGAAACCAAATTCTATTGGTTTATCTATCTAAATTCTAATACAATTCTAATTTTTATTTTTACATTAATTATATAATTAATGTTCCATTTATTAAAATCAGGTATAAATCTCATCAATTTAGTTTTTAAGCATTTTTACATCAATTCCAAAAATAATAACTAAAGGCAGTAACAAAATATATATTTATTTGTGAACTTTCGGATCATATTAAGCTCGGTAACTGATCACAGACACATTAAAGATGTTCCCCAAGCTGACTGACCACTAATAACCCAGTCCTCGAGGTTTAGGACATTTCAAGTTTGATTTGGACGTGAAAGCGGTGATACCCAAGTATCTGAGTTGTTTACTTTTTAATCAGTCTTCAAATTAACACCATAATGTTGTTCATTCAGGCCGATTCGCGAATACGCACGAACCAATCATATCCAATCACAGCGCAATGGATTGCCTCCTGTCACGTGACTTTCCCCCATTCATTCTCAATAACCCACATTTTGTAGCCTAATAATTATTTTCTCATCCATTACTGCCTCCTCGGGAGAGGAAACACCCCGATATATATATATCATCAATAAAAAATATTATATTTGTTGATTTGTATATCCTACATACAGATTTTTTTTTGTTTGTTTACTTTCAATGTACTGTGGTGAATGAGTTGCCACCTAAAATGAATGTCCGCAATAAGATTAAAAATGTGGCAACTTTTATTGACAGGAGAAGTGATATTCTGATGTTTAGCGGGTGTTAGTGTTCGTCTAAACCAGTCTATAGTCTAAACTAGTGCAACACTGAAGTGTGTGAGAACAGAGGAATGACATCAAACCACCAACATTTATTTATTTGGATAAAATATTTTAATCATTCTGTCAATTTTCAATGTCAATCTTTTCACTATTTACATGTTTATGCCCAACATGCTATAATATTCAAAGTAGTTGACTGTTCCCCTCTACACTGTGCGTTACTGATTAACTAGCCTAGCCTAGCCTAGCCTAGCATCGTTACAGGCTCCTCGCAAGCATTCATTCATCAACTATTTTAAAAGACTGGAATAAACACCAGCGCACACAAGTGTAAACCCAAGAGGTAAAATGTCAGAAAGAGAAAAACACTGTTAATGAAGACGAGCATATAGGAAATATATTCATATGAACATTTTAGCAGGCTCAAGATAATAGGGCTTGGGCGCCGCGTTGCATTCTGGGACATGGCGGCCATGTTGACAGCTTCGCGAATGTAAACATACAGCAAGTCGAACTAGGAGAAGCAGCAGAGTTGGGAGAAAGAAAAGAAAAAAGATGTTAAAATCCCTAAAAGGATGTGGAATTTACCGGGATACGTTAAATAGGGAAGCCAGGGACTGGTATGTGGACAAAATCGGCACTTTTAACGGTTTGGATCCATATGAAATATCCAACAAACAGTGGGAGCACAGTAACTTAATCCGGACAAAGGTAAACTGCGCTCCACCTAGCTGCTAGTTTAGTAACAGTTAGTGCTAACAACCATTCACACATGTAACGTACTTTTAACTATGTGTTTCAAAAGTGTAGTTAGTAGCTGTTTTAAGCAAAACTTAATTTAGAAAGCAAAACGATGCTTAGGACAAGGGGGTAGCAACAGGACAACAGTACAGAGACTGACAGGTCCGATGGAAGGGCTAACGTTAATGTGGTTAACAAATACGTGAGAAACCCGTAAAAAACGGGAGGGTTGACAGCTAACGTTACTAACTACAGTTTTGAAACACATAGTTAAAAGTACATGTGTGAATGGCTGTTAGCACTAACTGTTACTAAACTAGCAGCTAGGTGGAGCGCATCTTAAAGTTACCTTTGTCCGGATTACTGTGTTCCCACTGTTTGCCGACTCTGTTGGAAATTTCATATGGATCCAAACCGTTAAAAGCGCCGATTTTGTCCACATACCGGTCCCTGGTTTCCCTATATAACTTATCCCGGTAACGTATCCCGGCTTCTCCTCGTTCGACTTGCTGTATGTTTACATTCGGGAAGCTGTCAACATGGCGGCCACGCCAAGTAATGACGTCACGACGCCCAAGCCCTATTAATACAAATATCATTATCATGGTTTTAATCAATTGGCAGCCACAAAACAGTGATAATCTGCGTTCTCATGTGTGTGTGAGCGCTGAAGGCTAACCGGAAGCTGCCGATGTGGACTCTCTAGCAGGCGGAAGTAGTGCAAGTAGTCCATAAAGGTGACTTATATACACTACAATACTATAAATGTCAAGCCACCTTTATTTCTGTAGAGATGTATAAGTTTCAAAGCAGCTTCACAGAAACAAACAGGAAAATAATGATCAAGGATGTAAACTTCATCAAATATGAGACAAATTCAAATTCCTCTGTAAAGCAGAGCGAGACAAGTCAGTTGTGTGTGTGTGTGTGTGTGTGTGTAAAGACTGGTAACGTTTCTTATTAATAAATAAAATATAAACATCCATGTGTTTCAACTTTATCTTTGAATAGATGGCCTCAATTGCAGCTAGATGTAACTTTCAGTGTAGACATGACTCGAGCTCGTGCTCCCGCCCTACATTATTCACAACATTCCCCACACACTCTTTATTCTAGAAGCCTCCCTTTTTTCTATTTCTATTTCTCGAAACCTCCCTTTTCTTTTTTTCTCTTTCTCGAAGACTCCCTTTTCTTTTCTTTCTTCTCGAAGCCTCCTGAAGAGTCCGAGCGCGGGGAATGTCGTCACTCCGGCGCGAGGAGGGCGTGGCTCGGTCACATGACTCTGACTCAGCGCGTCACATGATTCCCTGTGTTTACAAGGCAACACGAGCAGCTGATATAATGAGATCACTCACATTCGCCCTCACAGGTTTAACAACGCCGTGAATAAGCTGAAACTGCCATTTCGAGACGCCAGTATATGTTCTTCTGTTCTCAGATCTGCCTATATTTAGGATTTGCCTTCTGTTTAAATGTTACTGTGTCTAATTGTGTACATTAAGGGCTGCCAACTCTCACGCATTTAGTGTGAGACTCACGGAACTGACACTTTTCACACACATCCATTTCATCACGCAGAGAAACACCCGACAAACCTGACTGACACCGACGGACAGACAGAACCTGCTCTTACTTTTGATATAAAACAATCATGTCATCGCGTCACCGTCACCGCATCATCTGTTAGAAGCTCCGGTTCCCATAGGAACCAGACTCGCGCTTAGGACAGCACATGCGCAGTGGCTCGTCTAGCCTGAAAAGTAAGGGTTATGTGTACATTATGAGCAAATATTCCCAAACTTTCTGACTGTGTAATCTCTTTATGGGTTATGTGATGTCATTTTATATTAAAAAATATATAAAATATGTCTGTATTAAAGTAAAAATGATTGATAAACACGTATTTGGAATGGATAAATAACAACTTTGGGTGTCTTGTTCATTATATTTATTTTCATATAAAAGCAACAGAACATAAATTACACCCAGTTTATTAGCAACACCGTGCACGAGCGTGAATCCCGCGATATCCGCCTTTGATCTCAGTGTCAGATCCACCGAGAGAAGAGAGACCTGTCCGTCTTGCCTGCACTGTTTTCACTCCTCCCCTCCTTAGTCATTTAATTACTCATTTTTATTTTCACTGTGAATATAGGCCTACTGTATACAGTAATTATAACTTTAACTCAAATCAAATTGAATGTTTGTGCTTTTGGAAATGGATCTCCATTATCCATAATAGGCTTATTATTTGTGCTGATCTTGAGCACAGAGTAAGAGCTCTCGGCGCCCTCTGCTGGCGACACCATCACTGCGCCATTACTCTGTTAATGTTCGGGCTTTTTGCGGTGTACGGTGTTTTGAACGTGCTGTAAAACCGGGATATTCCCGGGTACAGGACACCAAACACCGGGAGTGTCCCGGGAAAAGGGGAACGTCTGGTCATCCTGCAGTCCATGATGGAGTGTCACGTGACTGATGATCTGCCACACCCAGAGTGCTCGCAAGATGGCGGTGTTGTCTAGGAGCAGGTCATGTTGATTTGGAGAAAAAGTAAATAGGTTGTTAAGTAAATTCAATTTACCTTAACCACGTTAACAATTCCAGCTGCAATATGTTATTGGTTAGTTAGTGATTTAGTTTCATCAGATTATTAGCACTAAACCCTCTGCAGATTTTGGTACAAAACTCAAACCTCTCCTTGTGTGCTA